TTTTTTTTTTTTTTGCTTTCTTACTCAAGTTTGGAGTCCTGGTGTAGTGCTGTGGGCTAATGCATCAGAGTGCAAAGTCATTTGAACTGTAAGGTCGATGGTTCCAGCTCACCAGCTGCTCCTTGAAAACCCTATACAGAGTTGCTATGGGTCGGAATTGACTTGATGGCACTTAACAACAACAACAACAACTCAAGTTTGAATGGATGATTCTATTTTTTCTTCACTCTCTTGTAAATCCTCTGATAGTAGGCACTAGGTCTCATGTTTATTTTACTATCCACAGAATTTTGATTGTTGTGGGAAACACAGTAACGATCCTATATGTACTTGTTGATTGGACAAGATATGAGAAGTTTATGGATTTCTTTTCTGAACCATCCACCTGCCCTGAAACAACACTGGTTCAGGGGCAAACATATCTAAAACTTGACTTTTTAAGGTTTGGGAGATAAATCAAGAATAAAGGAAGCTGAGGTTCAGAGAGGTAGAGTAATATGCCAACAGGCAAATACTAGTAAGAAGTTCACCTGGGATTAGAACTGTGTTTGCCCTCTGGAGTTCTCTATTTTAATTTTTGATCCTCAAAGCAGATGTGAGTCAGAATATGGTGTAAAACTAGTTTGGAAGGTCAATACTAAGAGGTTAGAGTTACTGAACATTGACTGGAACTGTGTCCTTCATGGTACCATATTGAATCACTCAGAGTGCTAAACTAGTAAATATTTCAGGCCTGAAATAATATATGGATGTTTTCTACTCAATGCTCTCGCTTACATGATTATTTAACCCATTATTTTAAGCCATTATAATCCTCAAAAAGATAAATAAGGCAAAGCACAGTTATACAGTTTACTCCAAGGCTCAGAGCTAGAGCTGAGATTAAAATAAATATCTATTTTGTTCTTTCCCCTACTCTTTATTGTCTATTTAAATGTCCTGAAGGTAAGCAGTGTGTAACTGCAAAATTCCTATAGAGACCATTTTCTTTCTATCAACACTACATTGAATGAAAGGAATATGAGGAGAGCTTCAAACACAGGATGTACAGAATACAAACGCACATGTCATTGCAGATATTCAATGATTTACTAGTATGTATTAATAAGCATGTTTTCCTTTGTTGACTTGTAGAAGATAATTTCTTCCAGAAGACAAGGGACAGCTGATTTGGATTCTACTCCGTGGTTCCAAACCCCCAATTTCAGCCTGAGAGTGAAAAATCTTAAGACTCCATCCATTACCATACAGCCAAACATTCTTCTGCCATGGGGGATACAACCCGACTGTTGGCGGGTATCTTCATAGCTTTACTCACTCTCCCTGCCAAAGGTGGGGTCCTCAAGAAGGTTATTCGACACAAACGACAAAGTGGGGTAAATGTGACCCCACCAGAGGAGAGCCAGCCAGTAGTGTTTAACCATGTCTACAACATCAAGTTGCCTATGGGGTCCCAATGTTCAGTGGATTTGGATTCAGCCAGTGGGGAGAAAGACCTGGCTTCACAGTCAGAACCCAGAGAAAGCCTCCAGGAGCACACAGTGGATGGGGAAAACCAGATCGTCTTCACACACCGCATCAACATCCCCCGCCGGGCCTGTGGCTGTGCTGCTGCCCCTGATGTCAAGGAACTCCTGAGCAGACTGGAGGAGCTGGAGAACCTAGTCTCTTCCCTGAGGGAGCAGTGTACCACAGGAGTAAGTTGCTGTCTTCAGCCTGCTGAAGGTATGAGCTAGAGACTGACCCAGCCCCTAATTGTGCAGATGGGAGAAATGGCAAGCAGAGTAGAAGCCATCAGTTATTTTCAAAGTGAGTTCCTAGAAAAGTTGCCTCACAAAGTGTTCAAGATCAAGAGATGCTATGGTCAAGTAAATGTGGGAGATGTAGCCATCTCTATCCTGCTCCAGGAGAGTCAAGAAGACAAATGATTCTCAGAGCAATTTTCATGCCTCTGAGAAGTCTGGCTTGTAAAAACCCTATTTGTCTCTAATTGTTATTGTTGTTAAGTGCCATTGAGTCACTTCCAACCCAGAGCGACCCTGTATTAGGGTTTCCAAGGAGCGACTGGTAAGCTTGAACCACCAACCTTGTGGTTCAAACCAACTATCAGCTTTGCAGTCCAGCACATTAAACCCACAGCGTCACTCTAATTACAAGTTTCTAAAACTTATTTGAGAAAATTAAATCTATGCATTCTCTACCTCAAAATCTAAGAACACACCATGAAGTTCCTGATACAAAAAGTGTACTTGGAGAGATCCTGATATAGCCCAATTGCCACAATGTACAAATAGGGACATTGAGGCTCAGAAAGAGGATGATATGCCTTAAGGTCCCACAATGAATTATTGAGTTAGTTAAACTACAGTGTTCTACACCCAGTATTGTATAAAGTCTGTGTGTGTTGGAAAAAAAATGTTCCAATTTAATGATGATCATGATCACAACCATAAATCGTGCCCCCTCTATCTATCAGATGGAGTCCTGATGTGGTGCTGTAGATTAAGCACTAGACTGCACACCACAAGGTTTGCAGCTCAAACCCTATACAGGGTTGCTCTGAGTCAGAACCGACTTGATGACACGCAACAATAACAACATGTGTCAGCTGGAGCCCTTTGGTGGTACAAACTATTAATGCATTCTGCTGTTAACCAAAAGGTTGGAGGTTTGAGCCCACCTAGAGGCACACTGAAGGAAATGCTTGACAAACTACTTCCAAAAATCAGACATTGAAAACCTGAGGAGCATAGTTCTACTCTGACACACATGGAGTTGCCATGAGTTGAAATTGATTTGATGGTAGCTGGTTATTGGAATGAACCAGACATTTCATTCTTTATTTCATTTATATTCATTATATCCTCCCTGAAACTCTTTGAGATAAGTTTTTGCAAATCGAAGAATTAAAACTCAAATAAGTTAATCTACTGATACAAGATGACACAAAGAGTAATTAGATATAAAGGATCTGTCTGTGTCTCAGAGCTCAAACTTTCTGCAGAGATACCCTGCTTCATATGCACCCCATTGAAAATTACAAGTGTGGCATTATCTCCACTTTATAAAGCTGATAGAGCTACAAGTAATTTCAACAACTTCAAATCAGAAATGATAATCTCTGTTTCTGCCATTCAGAAGAAATCACCAAAAGACCTTTGATAAATTAGTTCTAGAGTTGACCTGTTGTTGTTAAGTGCCATTGAGTCGATTCCGACCCATAGAGACCCTATCTAGGATTTCCAAGGAACAGCTGGTGAGCTTGAACCACCGACCTTGCAGTTCTAACTGACTTTGCATTCTGATGCATTAGACCACAGCACCACACCAAGACTCCAAGAGTTGACATAACCACCATAAATGGAAAGTACTTTAGTGTGTGATCTAGGTTTCTAAAGCAAAAAGAAAAGAAATTCTTTATGCATAAAGTAGTTTGTCTTTCACTTCTATTAGCTCTCCAGCAAAATGCAGATGGGAGTTACACAGTAGGAATGATGCTAAAGAGTAGGTTGGTGTTATTTTTAAAGCAGCAATGTCCAATAAGAATATAATAAAGCCATATATATAGTCTTAAATTTTCCAGTAGTCACATTTTAAAAAGGGACAAGAGAAGATAAAATAATTTTAGACATCTGTCTAACCCAACATAACCAAAACATGAGCTTTTCAGCATGGAATCAATATAAAAATTATTCATGAGATTTTTTTGTAAGTCTCTGAAATCCATTTATAGCGTATCTCAATTTGGACTTGCTACAATTCAAGTGCTTAATAGCCATATGTGGATAACAGCTACCTTATTGGATAGGGCAGATCTAGAACTGAAGTTTCCAAGCTAACATTTCTCTTTAATGTCCTTCCTTCCCGCTGTCAAGAAGGAAATAAATGGTATTAATCACAGCTGTATCTAGGTGCAGAGAAAGTGGAGGCCAACTTCATTTCTTCCGCTTTTTCCACAGAGCTTGAACCAGCGGCTGCTGAGAGGCGATAGGCTGAGATTTAGCCTCAAAGCACTTGGTTGTGCTCTCATCAGTTCACACTCTACAGCTGCCTTCAGGATAGAACAGGGAGCAGAGATAAAGCCCATGTGTTTTCTGAGGAGAGAGCCAGATTGAAAGGCACCCTGCTGGAATCAGAGAGCCACTCCTTAGCTGCCTCATCTCAGTTACGGAAAATTAAAGTTTCACTCATGTAAACCAATGTACCAACTTGAGTGAACTCAAACAAAAATTTGAAGGCAGTGTAAATCACAGCAGTAGGCTCTTAATGTCCTCACTGAACTCTCATGTACCCCCAGTAAAGTGGGGTTATTGGTCCCACTTTACCATTGAGGAAACTGAGCTCCAAACAATCAAAATCCCTTCCCCTATAGGGCACAACAAGGAGCTCTGGTAGCGTAGTGGTTGAGAATCGGGCTGCTAACCTCAGGGTCAGCAGTTCGAAACTACCAGCTGTTCCATGGGAGAAAGATGAGGCTTTCTGCTCCCATAAAAATTTTCAGCCTCAGAAACCCTGTACAGGGTCGCTATCAATTGGAACCGACTTCACAGCACATAACTACCACCACCATAGGGCACAGCTAGTGAGTCAAAGAGTCACAATGTAGTTCACTTCAACAACTATTTATTGGGCATCTCTAGGTGCCCAGTTTCAGTGAGGCACCAAGGAAGTAGCAAAATAAGCATAAATCACACCTTCCACAAGGTGGTGATGGTGACTCATACTCGTCTTGGTTAGTTAGGTTCAGGGAACTCTTTAGAAACCTAATTAAAACCATGGCTCTTCTCCCTGGGGGTGGAAATACACACACACACAATCTTTGCACACAATTCTACAACTCCAGGGAGTACATGACTCCCTGAAGTTAAGAATTAAGAAGTATTGCTACCTAGTGTAATCTGACAGGTTGGTGGTCCTAATGTACCCAAGGATGCCTTAGTGTTGTATTTACCACTGAGATACAACTGAGAACAATTCCATTGTGACAAACATGGGGTGTCCATGAGTGAGAATCATCTCATCAGCAACTGGTAGTGGTGGTGAGGATTGGATGTGAGTCTCATCGGACTTAAAACCCTGAGCAACTGGTTTTCAAGTCAGATGGGTCTGGGAATGCAACCATCCTCTGGCTGAATTTGAATCATTGCTTTCCTGGTAGATACAGAGAAATCTGGCCACTTGAGCTCAACATAACACATCTGTTCTCTTGGTTGGCAGGCCGCCTGGATACCACGCCTTACTGTAGTGGCCGTGGCAACTTCAGCACTGAAGGATGTGGCTGTGTCTGTGAACCTGGCTGGAAAGGTCCCAACTGCTCTGAGCCCGAATGTCCTGGCAATTGTCACCTGCAAGGCCAGTGCATTGACGGGCAGTGCATCTGCCATGAGGGCTTCACCGGCGAGGACTGCAGCCAGCTGGCCTGTCCCAATGACTGCAATGACCAGGGCAAGTGTGTGAATGGCCTCTGCATCTGTTTCGAAGGCTATGCCGGGGCTGACTGCAGCCAGGAGGTCTGCCCAGTGCCCTGCAGCGAGGAGCATGGCACATGCGTGGATGGACAGTGTGTGTGCAAGGATGGCTTTGCGGGCGAAGACTGCAATGAGCCCCTCTGCCTCAACAACTGCTACAACCGAGGGCGGTGCGTGGAGAACGAGTGTGTGTGCGATGATGGCTTCACGGGTGAGGACTGCAGCGAGCTCATTTGCCCCAATGACTGTTTCGACCGGGGCCGTTGTGTCAACGGCACCTGCTACTGTGAGCAGGGCTTTACTGGAGAGGACTGTGGCCTGCTCACCTGCCCCAATGCCTGTCACAGCCAGGGCCGGTGTGAGGAGGGCCAGTGTGTGTGTGACGAGGGCTTCTCAGGGGCAGACTGCAGTGAGAAGAGGTGTCCTGCAGACTGTCACAACCACGGTCGCTGCATCGCTGGGCAGTGTGAATGTGACGATGGCTTCACGGGACCCGACTGTGGTGAGCTCAAGTGTCCCAGTGGTTGTAACAATCATGGCCATTGTGTCAATGGTCAGTGTGTGTGTGATGAGGGCCATACTGGTGAGGACTGCGGTCAGCAGCGGTGTCCTAATGACTGCCACAACCGGGGCCACTGCATCCAGGGCAAGTGTGTGTGTGAGCAAGGCTTCCAGGGCTCCGACTGCAGTGAAATGAGCTGTCCCAACAACTGTCACTGGCATGGGCACTGTGTCCACGGCATGTGTGTCTGCGACGATGGCTACATGGGCGAAGACTGCCGGGACCTGCGGTGCCCCAAGGACTGTAGCCACCGGGGTCGCTGTGTGGATGGGCAGTGTGAGTGTGAGGACGGCTTCACTGGGCCCGACTGTGCCGAGCTCTCTTGTCCCAATGACTGCCACCAGCAGGGCCGTTGTGTGAACGGGCAGTGTGTGTGCCACGAAGGCTTCACGGGCCGAGACTGCAAGGAGAGAAGGTGCCCCAGTGACTGCAATGGCCAGGGCCGCTGCGAAGATGGCCAGTGCATCTGCCATGAGGGCTTCACAGGTCTGGACTGTGGGCATCGCTCCTGCCCCAATGACTGCAGCAACTGGGGACAGTGTGTGCTGGGTCGCTGCATCTGCAATGAAGGCCACTCTGGGGAAGACTGCTCCGAAGGTGAGGATGAGCTGAACACATGCTATTAACTGTGGGGTCAGCACTACACTCCTGACCGCAAGGTCGGTGCATCAAACCCACCAGCCACTTCTCAGAAACCCAATACAGAGTCACTATGAGTTGGAACCAACTCAACAGCACACAAGACCACCACCAGTGTGTACCTCTGTGTTTAGAGAGCAATGCATTATACTGCACAAAAAACACAGACTCACATATGCACACACACACACTGACTCGTTGAGGGGGACCCTGGTCATCACCAGTTACAAGTGAGGGCTTTCAGCCCTAGAGATGTTATTATTGTCTCTAGGACACACAGCTAAATGTCACAGACCTGGCAGCTGAGCCTGCCTGCTGTGTCTACAATGAGTCCTGGTACTGGATCACTAGCTCCATGGGAGAAAACTGAGGCTGCCTTCTCCCATAAAGATTTACAGTCTCAGAAATCCCGAGGGAGCAGTTCTATCTTATCCCATCACAACTTTTAGCCTAGAGACCATGGGCACCCACTGAAGTTTTAAAGTTGAGTCATAATGGGAGGTTCTTGATAAGCTGTGTATTTTAGAAAATGACAATTAGGTTTCAAGGGGAGATCCTCAGGTAGTGGAAGAGACAAGTCCAGAAAAAGAATCTCTATTGTACTTTATTGACCCTAGATGTCCTTTCTCATTTCTACCAGTGTCCCCTCCCAAAGACCTCATCGTGACAGAAGTGACAGAAGAAACAGTAAACCTGGCCTGGGCCAATGAGATGCGAGTCACAGAGTACCTCATTACGTACACACCCACCCATGTGGGTGGCCTGGAAATGCAGTTTCGAGTCCCTGGGGACCAGACATCCACCACCATCCGGGAGCTGGAGCCTGGTGTGGAATACTTTATCCGCGTGTTCGCCATCCTAGAGAACAAGAGGAGCATTCCCGTCAGTGCCAGAGTGGCCACTTGTGAGTGAACAGAACTCCCCTCAGCCAGCTTCCAGCATCTTCAACTGCTCCAGCATAAAATGGCCTCTTACCTTTGCCTCAAAGGCCTATAACTGTTTTTTAAAATAATTATACGGATTAAGAATCTGGAATCCAGTTGCATTCTTGTGTGCCATAACGTGGATTCTGACTCAGAGTGACCCTATAGGAGAGACTTGAACTGCCCCCATCAGGTCTCCTACACTGTGATCTTTATAGGAGCAGATCACCAGGACTTTCCTCTCTCTTGTAGCTGATGGGTTTGAATCTCTAGCCTCTTGGTTAGTAGCATAGCTTAAGTCCATTGAATATTTTCTTAATGAAACTCCTTATTTTTAAGGAAAGGAAAAAAAAAAAAAAAAGATATTTTTCCCTTGTTCTTCTGTATCCTTCCTGCCATGAGAATCTTAATATTTAACAGTAAAGTGCTATAGGATAAGCAGTTTACTATTAACTGCAAAGTTGACAATTCAATCTCACTAAATGCTCTGCAGGCTTTCTGCTTCCTGTATGTTCTTGTTAGGTGCTGTCGAGTCGGTTCTGACCCTGACAACCCTGTATAGGGTTTCTGAGGAGTGGCTGGTGAATTTGAGCTGCCGACCTTGCAGTTCAGACATTGCAGTCCATCATATTATCCTGCAGTGCCACACCAGGACGCCTTCCTATATGTTCATATAAATCTGAAGATGTATTGAAAAAAAAGTACAACCAGAATGCTCCTTAAAAGCAAGGATAGTAAGACTCAGTCTCTCATACTTCAGACATATTAGCAAGAGAGATCAATCCCTGGAGAAGGATATCATGCTTGGTATAGTGGAGAGTCAGCAGAAAAAAAGGGACCAACCCCCCAGAGATGGTTGACACAGTGGCAGCAGCAATGGGCTCAAACGTAACAGCATTTATGAGGATGGCCCAGGACCATGTTTCTTTCTGTGGTGCATAGGGTTGTTAAGAGTGGAAGCCAACTTGCGGCACCTTGCCAACAAGAAGAAGTCTAAATTGACTTGATGGCAGTGGATTTGGTTGGCTGATTTATTTTCTTAGGCTTTGTTTGCAGCACTTAGCCTATGCTAACTCATTAAATCCTCACAAGAGTCCTAACAGTTAGGTGCTATTGTTAACCATTAACCCCACTATGCAGACACCATTGTTGTTGTTGTTAAGTGCTATCAAGTCAGTTCTGACTCATAGAGACCCTGTGTAGGGTTTCCAAAGAGTGGCAAGTGGGCTTAAACCACCAACCTCATGGTTAGCAGTCCAGTGCTTATCCTATAATATACCACAGAAGAGTTAAATCTCTTGTTCTAATACACAAACTAGAAAGTAGTGGAGATGGGATTTGAACCCACATAGTCTGGATGCAGAGTCCATGTTCTTAACCACTGTACTGATTACTTTTCTATGCAGCTCACAGCCTATTCATTAAAAATAAGTAAATAAAAGTGGAAACACTAGGATTTAAGAGTCTGACACTAGCATGAAGTGCATGTTGTGGCTAGAAATTAGCCTTCTCTTGCTTAGTAATAGTAACAGTGGCTGGTATTGATTGAATTTGTGCTAGATGCTAGAAACCATGCACAGCTCTTTACATGGATTGCTTTACTTGGCCCTCAAAACATTCCTGAGGGGCAGGCATCTATTTGTGTACCTTCTTCTCACAGGGTTGGAAAACAAGGCTCAGGGCATTTTATGTAACTTGCTAAGATCACAAAGAGAGTAGCAGTGGAGTATAGGATTCTAGCCCAAGACAATCTGATTCCAAAGCCCAGGCTCTTATTAGGCTTTGTTGTTGTTGTTGTTAAGTGTCATTGAGTCAGTTCTGACCCATAGTATCCCTGTATAGGGTTTCTGAGGAGTGGCTGTTGAGCTTATTAGGCTAAACTATATGAAATTACCATCTGGCTGTAGTTTCTGGGTGGTGTAAATGGTTAACCTCTTGATTACTAATGAAAAGGTCAACAACTCAGACCCACCCAGAGGCACCCTGTACACTCCCCCTGCCCCAAAATAACAGAAAGACAGTTCTATTCTGCACACATGGGGACCCTATGCGTCAGAATCAACTTGATGGCTAATGATTGATTCTGGTTGGTAGAATATTGTTGCTCCATCTATGGATTTTCCTACCTCCTCTCAGTAGAAAGTTCCCAGAAAAACCCTTAAGTAGACACCAGTTTCAACCAAGGGAGGCATACACCCTTGGGGTTTAATGAAGTCATGACATCACATCTCTGCCCTGCCCTCACCTCCTGTTTGCTTGACTCTGACAGACTTGCCTGCGCCTGAAGGCCTCAAATTTAAGTCCATCAAGGAGACATCCGTGGAGGTGGAGTGGGAGCCTCTGGACATTGCTTTTGAAAACTGGGAAATCATCTTCCGGAATATAGTAAGGAGTAAAACACAAAGACATAAGTGTGTGAGGGGAGCTCCAGAAAGCTTGTGGAAACATAGAATTGAAAGATAATGGAATTTTTGACCACAAAGATCTCAAAGTTGGTGAAAGGGCTCTGCAAACTTTTGCATCAACTCTGTTTTCTCTACATTGTTGTTAAGAGCTATCGAGTTGGTTCTGACCCATAGCGACCCTATATAGGGTTTCCAAGGAGTGACTGGTGAACCTGAACTACTGAACTTGTAATTCAAATGGCTTTGCAGTCTGGCACATTAACCCACAGTGCCACACCAGGATTCCTTCTCTACATTAGGTGTAGGAAAGACAAAATTATATACACTTGTGTATGTATTTTAGGTCACATTGGCTGTGCCCTGATTTTATTATATCAATAAGCATAGCACTTAGGCTAAGTGAGGCTAGACAAATAGATATTAAGCCATATTTCAGTTCACAGACTAACAAATCTCATCTCAGAAGCAGAGAAGAGAATACTTGGTCGGTAACTTACAATGTATCTTGGCATATCTCAGATTGAGCATGCCTTCTCTCTAGGTCTAAATGCACATGTGAGGCAGCAAACTGAGTTCAAGCCTAGGCTCTGTCACAGCTATGTGCCTATAGGAGAATCACCTAGCACAGCTTTTAGTCTGTCAAAGGAGAGGTTGAGCTTATGGTTTCAGAATTTCTCTAACTTTCACATTCTGTCATTTGATTTGGGTGTCAAAGAGATTAAAGAGGTTTACTAGGGGGTTAGAAAAGAACATGAGAAATGTCTTAACTTTCTTTGTATCCTCAGCACCTAACATACTGATCTGATACACTCTAAGTGCTCAGTGAATGAACAATTGTGGAATGAATGAGTCACACAAAGAGGTTGATACGTCCTTTAGGTCTTACCAAGTTGTCTCTTTCTCTCAGAATAAAGAGGATGAAGAAGAAATTAAGAGTAGCCTGAAGAGGCCAGAGACCACATACCGACAAATTGGCCTAGCTCCTGGGCAAGAGTATGAAATATCATTACACATTGTGAAAAACAACACCCGGGGCCCCAGTCTCAAGAAGGTGACCACCACCCGTGAGTATCACTTGAATGCCATTGATATGATGATAAAGATTACAGAACCTCAAATCACCTTGTGGTTGATAAAGCACCCTCTTATAGAGCATCTGTATCCGTTAACTTTTGCTGAGTAACAAACAAGTTTTCGTTTGTTGTTTTACTGACGGAAAACAACAATTCTGTAGGCTGTCAATGTGGGGCTGAGCTCCATGACAAATGTTTTTGGTATCCATGAGGCCTACTTGTGCATCTGTATAGTTGGTATTGGTTAACCTAGACTGACCTCACTTGTGATGGTACCTTTTGGCTCCACATGGTCTCCCATGCTCCACTAGGCTAGCTTGAGTCTGTTCGCATGAAAGCTAAACAGATGCTCCAGAAGAACAAGGGGAAATGTGCAAAGTCTCTTTAGACTGAGGGTCAAAGCTGGACTAGGTCACTTGCCCCATTCTGTTAGTCAAAGTTGGTCATTTCATATGTAAATGGCACACAAAGAGAACCATCTCTTGATAAGACAGGCTTCAAGGTATCGGGACAGGAAATAATTGAGGCTAGTGCAAACAATCTAAGGCATCCATTCATTTAATCTTAGCAACAGTCCTGTGAAAAAAGCAGAGAAAATACTGATGCCATTATTTTCAAGACTAGAAACTGAGGCTTGTTGTTGTCGTTGTTGTTGTTAAGTGCCATCAAGTCATTTCTAACTCATAGTGACCCTGAATAGGGTTTCCAAGGAGTGGCTGATGAGTTTGAACTGCCAACCTTATGGTTCAAACCTACCTTGTAGTACAGTGCAGATCCTAAAACGCCACACCAGGACTCATTAGAGAAGTTAAATCAATTTAGCTAGCATTACAGGACTAACTGGACCAGAGCCACTACGTTAGATCATGGGCTAGTTTTAAAATCTTAATTCCATTGCCATTAGAATCAATTATTATTTGTTGTTCTGACTCATAGTGATACTGTGTAGGGTTTCCAAGGTGCGGCTAATGGGTTTAATCCACCAACCTTGTGGTTAGCAGTCTAGTGATTATTCTAAGTGCCACACCAGGACACCTTAACATCAACTAGGCTCTGGTTTATGAAAAATGTAGATTTCAGATTTTCAACAGGAACCTAAATAGTTTCCTTCAGTTCTAATGTTAGAACTCCTGAGAGTAGACAGAATTTGGCATTGCTAGATCATTGGTGGGGGGTAGGGGGGGAGCGGAGATGGATTCTGAATTTGGAGTTTTTTTACAAGAAGCAATTATTTTAAAAGTAATAAAATTATTTTTCATTGTCATTTCATGAAACCTCTTTTTATTTTCTTCACGACAACATATGCACCTACAGTTTAAGGAATTAACTATTCTTGGCAGGGTGTTGTTGGAAAAATTAAATCTGTTGCCTATTGGCAAGAAAGAACATCTTGCATTTAAATATTTGCACACTTTGTCTAACTCAGAGCCAATTTATAGGATTGTCTCCTTAAACAGCAAGTGTTTTCCATCATACCGACAACATCACTCTGTGGTAGGTAGAAGGCAGGTACTAACAGGAAAAAAATCATTAGATCATGAAAAGTCATTGAAAAGACATTCTAAATGCTTATTTGTTGTAGAGAAAGTACACTGAAAATACAAAAGGCAATTCTTTCATCTTCCTCTTTTCATAAATCTAAATTTGGGGAGTAGCCACTTTATTTTCTTCTTACTGCAGGATTAACATCCCAACATTTGAAGATGTAAAATCACATAAATATCAACATTGAGGGGAATATGTTTGCCTGTTATTTTTGTTGCTATATTACGAACTTGATTCACATTTAAAGTTATATAAACTTTAGGTTAAAAAAAATAATTTCTGCTTCTTCCCACTGGTATGTATATAGCGGTGGTACTATAACCATTTTTGATATGTGAATATTTTTAACAGACATCATATATCCAGGGAAAGAGCATTAGACTTTGGATTCGGAGTCCTGAGTCTGAATTCCAGCTTTATCGCTCACCATCAGCTTGAGCAAGTCCTTTTCTTTGAGCCTGAGATACAACATCTGGGAAATGAATTTGTAGCAACCTCCTTGTGAAGCTGTCCTGAAGTTTAAGATATGTCTTAAGCCAAAAACCCAGTGTCATTGAGTAATTCCAACTCATACCAACCCTGTAAGGACAGAGTGGAACTGCCTTACAGGTTTTTCAAGAGTGTAATCTGTACAGAAAATGACCGCCACATCTTTTTCTGGTGGAGTGGCTGGTGGCTTCACATGGCTCACCTTTCAGTTGCTAGTCAAGCACTTTAAATACTGTGCTACCTTAGCATGTGACAAAGCATCATAATTGGCACATATTATCCCTCTGTCCAAGGATCCTGAAATCAGTGATGGATCTTGTCTTTGATGTCCAGCTTCTTTAATGAAAGGGGTGCTGAGTAAAGTACTAGGATTTGGATGCTTGTAAGCAAGTATAAAAACATATAAGACAGATGCCTTCTCTGTTGATTAGAAGCATTGTTTTCATTATGCATTTTAGGAGGTATTCTGTGGAGTCCTGATGTGGCTCTGTAGGTTAATGTACTGGACTGCAAAGTGGATTTGAACTGCAAGGTCAGTGGTTCAAGTTCACCAGCTGCACCTCGGAAACCCTATACAGGGTCACTAGGGATCAGAATCAACTCTACTATGGCACTTAGCAACAACTGCTGTGTTCTGAGCTATTCTACATAGCCTATTTTTTGAAATGCTTAGATTTTATAAGACTCTGTAGCTTTCTCACAATCAGTCATGGATTATTTCTCTTTCTTACATTCTGTATAAAACAAAGCTCATTTCATCTGATATTCTTTACTCAACCAATGCTGAAAATGCAAACTTGACATTCTTCTTTTAAAAGGCAAGAAATAAACACCGACTGAATGACTAATGTGTGCCTAACTCTATGATGGGTACTAAGAAGCTTAGAACCCACGCCATGAGTTAGATGGAAGATCCCATCTAAACTGATAGACATTGTAGACAAATCTTTTAAAGAACAATGAGAAAATTACAATGTTAGAATCTCTTTAAGGACAGTGGCAACTTCTTGTCAAAACTGAAATTTTGAAGGATGAATAGGAGACTTTTTGATGGGAGAGGGGCAGTCTCAGGGAGAAGAAAAAGGAACAACGTGCAATGGATCAGGAGGTGAGAAAGAGTGCAGTGTGCTTCTAGACCTTCAAGCAGTGGGCAGTCGGAATACATGGTGCAGGATGGATGGAGCAGGAAGAGAGCAACAAGGGAGGAGGAAGTCTTGGAATGCAGATGACTCTCTTGTCTATTCTCTTAATCAAAAATAACTTACCATACCTGTTGACATAGTCTCTGTCTAACTCCTCTAAGCCATGATTCAGACAGTAAACTGAAAAAGCAATTTTAAAAAATCCAGAAAGTTTTATCAACTTGAAAACTGTGGTGGTGGTGGTAGTTGTATAACGTGGAGTCGGTTCCAACTCATAGCAACCATGTACAGGGTTTCCAAGGCTATAGATCTTTACAGGAGCAGAAAGCCTATTTTTCACCCGTGGAGTGGCTGGTGGATTCAAACTGCTGACTTTGCCATTAGCAGCCTAATTTGTAACCTACTTCCCTATCAAGTGAAATAACTCCTAAATAACTTCAACTTACTAAATAAATAGCAATAATAATGACAAAAAAGCAATGACCATTTATCATGCAATTGCCATGTGTCAACCATTGTGCTGAATAGTTCACAAGTATCTCTTTTAATATTTTATATATATATATAAAAAAAAAAACTCCTAAGAAGTAGTTGTTATTACCCCACTCACAGCTTATTAAACAGGAAACAAAAGGTCAAGTGGTGAGTAGAAAAACACCAAGATGTACACCCTTGGATGTTAGTGTCTCCGGCGCACTCTCTGGTCAGCCGCTGGCACTGGCTCAGGTCCTGAGACCATTTTGCTCTATGCCTGTTACAGGTTTGGATGCCCCCAGCCAAATCGAGGTGAAAGACTTCACAGACACCACTGCTCTGATCACCTGGTTTAAGCCCCTGGCGGAGATTGATGGCATTGAGCTCTCCTATGGAATCAAAGATGTGCCTGGTGACCGCACCACCATTGATCTGGCACATGATGAGAACCAGTACTCCATTGGAAACCTGAAGCCAGACACCGAGTATGAAGTGTCCCTCATTTCCCGCAGGGGTGACATGTCTAGCAAGCCGGCCAAAGAGACCTTCACAACAGGTAATGGTTACAGTAGAAGGATTGTGAGACAGCCATGTGATTCCATGGTGGGGGGGAAGTGTTATCAGTCAGGATTCTCCAAACAAATAGAACCAATAGGATATATATATATATACGTATACACAAAAATACACAAAATACAGAGAGAGAGATTTAGATAGGGATAAAAGTATAGGTACAGGGACAGACACAGATACATATAAAAATATTTCTTTTAAGAAATTGACTCAGTTGAATTTAGATGCTAGCAAGTTTGAAATTCATAGAGCAGGACAGCAGACTTGACACTCAGACAGAACTTACTGTTACCTTCTGAATCCAAAATGATGAGGAGAGGCCAACCAGCTGGGAACTCAGACGAGATGTGATGGTATAGGATTGAGGCAGAATCTCTTCTCTGGGCAACTTAGATTTGGTCATAAGGCTTTCAGCTGGTTGGCTGAGGGTCACCTGCATTATCTACGATGATCTTTATTGGAGAGGTAGCCCCATCTACAGTATTTTTTCACAGCAACACCTAGGCTAGTAGTGTCTCATTAAATAGCTGGGTAGTATAGCCCAGCCAAGTTGACACATAGGGACCAATCATCACCTGGAACATAGCTACCAGCATCATTTTACAGTAGGAAAAACACAAGTGGGGATTTTCATTCCTTTAAATTTTATTTTAAAATATCATGGCAATTTTTTTTTACAAAGAAACACTGCCCCAAATAACCTTCAAAATAATATACCCAATTCTCTTATAATAATACACTTATCAACATGGCTAGGTTCCAAAAACCAGATTGATAGGCAAAAATAGGAGTTATGATGAGAGAATAATCAATCAGATACAAAATGGAGGATGACTACATCATTACATAACTACCCCAACTACGACGGATCATGGTCCAGCCAAGGTGATACATAATCTTAACCATCACAGCCAGTGTTACTCTCAGCTTGCACCTTGGTATACATCACTGTCAGACATAGGTATTTCATGAGCAAAATAGTCAATTAGTACATTTTTATACTAGTGTTGAAATACTTCGTTTTTTAATATTGTTATAAATGCAATATATCGGAAATGAGATAGTTGATAAATGAGGAGTTAGAAAAAAAAGTGGGTATGCTTCTTTTTTTGCACACATAAAGATACTGATCTGACATTCTCTTTAAAAGGTTCTGGTCAAAATAAAAATCAAATATATATTTTAATCACAAAATACAGTACATGGAAAAAATGAATAGCAAAGGTGCCTCCTAGCTTCTTAGCTCAATGGCGTTATTTTAAAAGTACCAAAGTTTCCATCATTCATTCAGTCAGTATTCTGAAAGTAAGCACTGTGTGAGTTTTCAGAAATGCAGTGATGAATATAGTAGATCGGTGTTCCCTCTTATAGAGCTAATATTTGAGCTATAATAATTTTATAATCACAAAATCTGCAGAAACCATGAGTGGCACACACAAATAATGGGGAAAGGTGCCAAATATGTCGTATTTGTTTAGATTTGTGCATCAGCTACCGAGGCAAAGGGCTATGTGTGTCACCTTTTGTATGGCAGGTTAAGCTGTCAAAAACTCCAGCTCCCTGGCACCTGGTGTTTTCATACAAAGGTTCTTTCCTCTCCCAAACAGGTCTGGATATGCCCAGGAATCTCAGACGTATCGCCCAGACAGACAACAGCATCACCCTGGAATGGAGGAATAGCAAGGCAGCCATTGACAGCTACAGGATTAAGTATGCACCCCTCTCTGAAGGTGAACACGCTGAGATTGATGTTCCAAAGAGTCGACAAACCACAACCAAAGTAACACTCACAGGCAAGTCTGAATGACCAATCCAGCTGGTCCTAGGGATCCTCAAAGGATGGACAACCTGCTCCTACATATCCCCACTTTGAAGTTCAAGAGAACTAAGCTAAACAACTTGGGCTGCAGTCAATTCATTTTTAAGACATTTGGGGCATTGAGAATTCATGGACCAGTTCAGAGCCATTGTCATGGCTCCTGTAAGTCTTCATGGTTTCCTACTGAATCCTAACCTGCACATTTCCTGTAGGTCTGAAGCCAGGAACTGAATATGGGATTGGAGTGTCTGCTGTGAAGGGGGACAAGGAGAGCAATCCAGCCACCATCAATGTGGCCACAGGTGAGGAGCACCATGGCTCAACTGCCACAGAGTTGTCAGGCAGATTAGGTAGATAAGACAAGGCCAATGAGGCAGAAGAGAGATTTAAAAAGAAAAAGTGGAAGCTCAGAGGAGAAAGTGTTCTGAAAGCATTTAGCCCAGGTGTCTACATTCAAAAGTATTAAAAGTGAGTAAATAAGAACAGGGAGTGAACACCCATTGAAATGATGCCAGCACCACTCATGCAATGTAGGAAGGGAGCCAAAACAGTTCTAAAAGAAAAAAACTGGAACCCGACTTTAGAAGAAATATGCAATTATTTGTAGTTGGTATTTGAATTCCTTTACTTTTTTTTTTACAAATTGCTGTCTAATTGAAACATCACTTTGCTGTTTCCTCTTAGAAAACACCTAACTGTTGCATTCCTAGTCAAGCAGATTTTAAGTGGCAGAACCAGTGTTGACCTTAGGGCTTGCTTCCTTTCCTGTGTCTGCACTTACTCATGGCAGTGCCTCTGGGTGAGGATGGTGAGGGCTATATGAGTTGAAGCAAGTTTCATTCTGGGAAATTTGCATTTCAATAAGAAACCATTCCCATCTACCCCTCCACTTGTCTCTATATTAGTGCTACCAAGTTAGTGAAGCAAAAGGAGGCTGGTGTGCAAAAAGAACATCTCTCCTGCTTTATTGAGCTTCCAAATTATACAGGATCCAATGCTGGGTACTTAACATACATATTCTTTTAAAAAAAATTGTTGAGATCATTGTAAAATTGACGTGCAATGGTGAGAAATAATACAGTAAGATTCCCTATACTCTTCAGCCAATTTCCCTGAATAGTAACATCTTGTATAACTATTAGTACATTATGACAACTAGCACATTAATGTTGGTGAAATCCATTGGCCTTGTTCAGATTTCACCAGTTTTATAGGTACTTGTTTGTGTGTATTTGGTTGTATGCAACATTATCCTGTGTCACATATCCACCAAGAAAGTCAAGACGCAATACCAAGGACCCATTGTGCTACCCCTTTATATCCACAGTCACCTCCCTCCATCTCCTCATTGCTAAGCTCTGGCAACCACTAATTTGTTCTTCATCTCTATAATTTTGTCTTTCAGCAGAATATTATATATAAATTTTATCAAACCATGTGTAACCTTTTGTAGATTGACTTTTTTTTTCACTCAACATAATTCCTTAAGATCCATTAAAATTGTTTTTTGTACCAGTGTTGTTGTTAAGTGACATTGAGTCGGTTCCAATTCATAGAGACCTTACAGAGGGTTTCCAAGGAGCTACCGATGACCTTGAACCACTAACGTTGAGTTTCAGGCCGACCTAGCAGTCCAGCGCATTACCATTACCCACAGCGCCACACCAGGACTCTTTGTACAAATACTTCATTATTTTCTATTGCTGAGTGTCATTCCATGGTATGAATATACACCATATTCATATTTATAACCTTTCAAAATGTATAATATATAGTGCGTGATGAGAACCCTTTACAAAGGTAAAAAACTGAGACTCAGGTGAATTGTCTGAAGGCACACAGCACCTCCATATGTGAGGATCACAGTTTAGAACTTGCCGCCTTTGAATCCCTAAAGTAGCCTGAGGGGTACCATCTCTGTTTGTCTCCCAGATATAGATGCACCCAAGGACCTTCAGGTATCCAAACCTACGGAAACCAGCCTGAATCTACTCTGGAAGATGCCCCTGGCTGAGTTTGACCATTACCGCCTCAACTACAGCCTTCCCACAGGCCAGCAAACAGAGGTGCAGCTTCCAAGAGACACCACCTCGCATGTTCTGAGAGATCTAGAGCCTGGGCAGGAATATACCATCCTCCTCACAGCAGAAAAAGGCAGACGCAAGAGCAAGCCAGCACAAGTAATGGGGTCGACAGGTGAATCTTGCTTCTGAGCTTCTTCCAAACCCTGTTAATTCTGGGATTTGTGGATTCCCTCAACCAGCCAGATGGGAAGACATGCTACTTTCTCTACTCATGAAGTTACTTAATGTCACTTTTTAAAAAAGATTCACTTCCTTCTTTTCCCAGTATTAACTTTTCTTTTTGTCAGTTCAGCAATAGACTGCACTGGAGATTTCTAAGTATTTCTTTCTAGTAGAACTTAAATCTTAGGTTTTGTATTTGTTTTGTTTTGTTTTTTTCTCTTTAGGTTTTGTTGTTGTTGTTACTGTTTCTCAATTATGTGCATATGACCCAGATTCTCCTGGTTTTTCATTTTTATTCCATTCTCTAGCCTAACAATTCATTTATATTTTTCATTTTGTTTCTTTGAAGATGACCAAGATTTTGAAAATAATTCTTTAGTTTCTTTCCACTAAATGTTTTTGTTCCAGGTCTTATTTTCCCCCTCAGATTACCACTGAGAAGTTGCACGTGGTCCTTTGAGTCTTCCCCAGTGCCCTTCCAATTTCTGTTTTCTCTTTGTCATTAATAGGTGAACAACGGTTTTCTAAAATGACAGCTACATTCCTGACTTTCAGTACCTGTTCTAGGCCTATCAACCTACTTGAGTAACTAAACCTCTTGCTATGTTTCCTCAGTAGCTACACTGAAACAACAATGCCGGGAGGGGTTGATTCTGTCTGTATGAAAAGCATATATACTTCATTTTGACCCTACAATATTGAATCAAGAAGTATAAGTAGAAAATATTGTTTCCCCAGGGTTTATCAAGGAATCGGTTTTTTGTTTTTTTTTTTTAGTTTAATAAGTGCATATGCTTTGAGCATTAACTGCATACTGTGAATTTTACTGATATTTGTGGGAGAAGTGGCCCATGTAGTAAGCATTGCTCTGTTGATTCATATAAAACCATGTTTAGTTGTTTGTAAAGAAAATCAGGAGGAAGGCTCTTTTATCGACAAAAGAAGCCTATGATGCCAGAATGTCTAACGTGAAAGCAGGTGGTCAATTCTATTGATTCTTTTCATGAACTGCTTTCCCCTAGGTATGAGACATCAGGAACAGTCTACAACTAGTGAGTATGTAATGAGCACCTACCATGAATATTATACTAAAGGGCTTGCATTGTACTATTTGTTGATAGTGAGAAAGAGCCACTGGAGGTTTTATGGCAAGCAAGGCTTTACTTTCAGTGATCTTATTTTGACAAAATAGGTTTGAAGCAACTTAGTCTCCCCTTTAGGCTAGCTAGCTTTGGACTTGACGATCTGCCTGTTGCAGAAGGATCGCTCTTTGTCCCACAAGTCAACACCGAAAGTGGATTTTCTCACTAAGCTACTACTGAGTGCTGTCATTCAGCCATGACATCGAACTTCCACCTACAAGATGGAGAGAATCTAAAGACTTAAAAGTTGGCACAGCCAGAAATTCCTCCAGGTCAGCTGCTTGCACCCACTACAAGCACAGAAATAGTATTTCAAAACTCAAATTTCCCAGGCCCACTGACATTGTTCAGAGGGTAGACACTGGTGCACAGCTGCAAGAAAAAGACAACAGCCTTTTCATAAAGAAATGCCAAGAAATTCAATGAGCAAGTATGCAACGGAAACACTTGGTGTCTGGGGCTGTAAGCCCACAAGACTCTCCTTCACAACTGAAATGCACATTCAGCTTTGCACTCTTGGTCCCCACCTCAACTATTGTCTATGTTTTTATACACATTATTCCTCCTCTTCTCCTAATTCTTTTGTCTTTCACTTTAATTTATCTATTGATGTCATTCATGGAAGCCACACCTTCTATTTGTCTTACTTTTGTTGTTGTTGTTGTTAAGTGCCATCAAGTCAGTTGTGATTCATGGAGACCCTGTATGGGGTTTCTGAGGAGCAGCTGGTGAGCTTGAACCACCGACGTTGCAGTTCAAATGACTTTGCAGTCCAGTGCATTAACCCACAGTACCACACCAAGAACTAGCATTTGTTTAATTAAACCACCATTTCTATTGCCTTGTTGCTGTTAAGTGCTGTTGAGTTGGTTTTGACCCATAGTGACCCTGTATAGGGTTTTCTGGTGAGCTTGAACCACTAACCTTGCAGTTTAAAAGACTTTGCCATCCTGCACATTAATCCACAGGGCCACACCAGGATTCCTGTTACCTTAGAACTCTGCAGAAACCTTCACTTGTGTTGAGATTCCCAGGCTTTGTGTGCTGAGTGCCATTGATCTGATCTTCTTGCTTTGAAAAACCAGTTAGAAGAAGACATGTTTTAAGTTCATAAAAATGTACATTAATCTTTCCAACCTTGTATGAACTTACAGAGAGATTGTGATGAAAAAGGTGTGCTTCCCTATCTACTTCATCAACAAATACTTGAGAAGCACTTTCCAAGAGTATTATAATGAGCAACATTAAATTCCTGACCACATGCAGCTTACTTACTTTGGATGATTGATAGATAGATAGATAGATAGATAGATAGATAGATAGATAGATAGATGATAGATAGATAGATGATAGATAGATGATAGATAGATAGATAGATAGATAGATAGATAGATAGATAGATAGATAGATAGATAGATTTTTGAGTATTTCATTCTAAGCACAGAGGCAAGTCTTTAGAGAGCTGAGAGCAGAAAAGAGATATTTTTAAAAGACTCTTCTGGCTGCTCTTTGACTATTAAACTGTGAAGAGACAAGTATAGAAGCTGAAAGTTCAGTGAGGAGGCCATAGCCTAGTCCATAGTAGGAATGATGGTATCTTTCAAAAATATGGTAGTACCAGAGAAAATGAGGATGCAGTGAGTAGAAATGAAACTCCTGCTCTCCTGGAGTTAACTTTCTTTGGAGATAGATGATGTGACATAGATTTATTTAACAGTTGATAAGTAGATAAATATGGTGGGTAGATAATTGCCACGGGCAATTCTATAAAACAGGGCAAAGGTAAACTTTAACAGTCAACACTCACAGTAGGTTGGAAAGTGGGGGGTGCCATCTAGGTGAAAGGATCTGGGTGGGACAGCAACAACACCCCCTATAGACATAACCACAGCATTTCCTCTCTAAATAATAAACTAGTTCTCCTTATCCTATTTGTCCATTGCCTACTGCCTGCCTTCACCCCATACCCCAAAAAAGAGGAAAGTAAAATGTGGAGGGGTAGCCAAAATATTTTGGTGTAAATGTCATCACCATGACCATTACTATTGACCATGACCACTACAATAGACCATAATGTGGTGTGTGGACAGCTGAAGCAAGGATCTGAGGTCATAGTATCTCAGAAACCTGGTTCAAAGAGAAAAGATGATTGCTATCAGAAAGTGACCACTGCCAATATGTATCTCCTCCTCACCCCATCCATCTTTACTGTAACAACCGAATAGGTATCTCTTCCTTTCTCTCCTATATATGTAATTCTCCTCACATCTCTTGCAACCTGAAACTAGAAATTTCTTTCATGAGGAGAAAAAAAATTAAAACAACTGTTCATGTCATAATTAGAGTTAAGATTGGAAAAAAAGAGGAAACTGAGATAAGAAGAGGAGTTTAAGGGCCATGAGAATTAATCTCCTTGACTTTGCATTTGGTTTTCTCCTGTATCTCTTTTATGCGTGGTATATTCAATAGGACGTGTTCCTGAGTATGGTGATTATGTGCCGTGGAGTCAGTTCCAACTCATAGCAACCCTGTACAGGGTTTCTGAGGCTGTAAATCTTTACAGGAGCAGAATGCCTTACCTTTCTCCCGTGGAACAGCTGGTAGTTTCTAACTGCTGAGGTTAGCAGCCTGATTTATAACCACTGTGCTCCTGTTGTTGTTGTTGTTGTTGTTGTTAAGTACCACGGAGTCAGTTCCGACTCATAGTGACCTTGCACAGGGTTTCCGAGGCTATAAATCTTTACGGGAGCAGAACGCCTTATCTTTCTCCCACAGAACCACTGGTAGTTTCGAACTGCCGACCTTGAGGTTAGCAGCCCGATTCGTAACCACTATGCTACCAGAGTCTAGTTGTGCTTAAATCCCAAAGTTGAAGGATATAATTATTATATGTGGGAACAATATCCTTGACTTCACAAAGACCAGCCAGTTTAGGATGGTTAACCATTCCCCAAATTATTTATGCCATTTTGAGATTTGGGGCCTCTGTTCTCTCATAGAGACCATACTTGTGTTGCTAATAAATGCTACGGGGCCTGGGGCATATGCTCCAGGTATGAATTTGCATTTTCTGCGAAGGACCAGAACATTTTCCCTAAATATTTTAGATTTTACAAGCACTATAATCTCTAGCACAACTACCTCTCTTTGCTATTGTAGTACAAAAACAGCCAACAACACACAATTGTGCAAACATGGCCCTGTTCCAATAAAACTTTATTTACAGCCATCGCCATTTGAATTTCATCTAATTTTCATATGTCATGAAATATTCTGTCACTGATTTTCTTTCCCCAACCATTAAAAAAATGTAAGAACTGTTGTTAACTGACTATCAGAGCTAGTGGCAGGTCAGATTTGCACCCCTGTTGCAGATTAAACAAGACTTGAATGAGTGTACGATTTGGCAATATGAAACAATTGGAAGAACTTAGAAAAGTCTGAGTTAAATAGATTCTAGAAAAGAAACATTTTCTATCTGTCTGGATCTCCCCATCAAATTGTGAGCTAAGATTTTCAATTAAGAAACCTGCAGTATGAACACTGGACACATAGGGATCATTTGAAATTAGGAACAACGTTAGCCACAAATAGAAAAACAATTTGTTCCTAAGCTTCTGTTTACAGGACCCATTTCCTGAGAAAACCCTTTCTTTCTAGGTCATACAAAGTCCACTCACACTCAGCCTTGGGCAAATTATCCTCCTTAAGGTGGAGTTTTTACTGTCTTCTATGTTTTCAGGAAATGAATGAAGCCGGTCCATTCAATTTAAATTGAGCTTAATAGACTGTTTTCCCCAAGACCTCAGTCTTCCTTTTTGTCCACTAAGGGACAATTTTTCAAAGACATGCTCTTGCCTCAGTTTGGCCTTACTTCAACTATGATAGTTTATCTGTAATCTTTACAGAGGGGTTTTGACACCCACAAACTTACAAAATTCCAATGTAAAGAAACTGATCAAATAGATCTGTCAGATAGATTGAGGAAGTGTGAAAAGACAGGGAAACAATTGTCTCAAAATACAGAAGGCTGAAGAGCGCATACCAAAGCCACGGGCAATCTGAGGGCTCCTTTCTTATGATGAGGGGCATGTTCCAAAATGGAAATTAAACCCAGAGCATCACTAACACATACTGATAAACAAACAAACAAAATCATGGCCAGAGTCTATTCTACCTCATGGCAACCCTATGTGTTATAAAGTAAAACTCCATAGTTTTCTTGGTGGTAATCTTAATGACAGCGGATCACCAGGCCTTACATACTTTCTTCCATGGATCAGCTGGGTGAGTTTGAACCTCAACCTTAAAGTCAGTAGTTGAGTGCAAACCATTTGCCCCACCCAATAACCTCCCTGTACCTATCAAGCTTCTCAACCTGCAGGATACTGGTCAATAAGAAAACACCGTTTCTCAAAGACAAAATAACCATTCAAAATAAGACAAAATAACCATTCAAAATAAGACAAAATAACAAAATAAGACAAAAAAAAACACATTCATTTTTGTGTTGGCATGTTATGAAGAGAGCACCATAGGACCATGCAGTGAGCAAAACATTGCCTCCAACTCTGGCGGCCTGTCCTCACTACAGCAGGTTTACCATCTAGGTTCTCCGCATGAATGTGGTTCGGGGACTGATTTAACAGACTCCATCTCTGTCATTCATTATTCAGATCAAGCTCCTGAACTGGGAAACTTCATGGTGACTGAGGCTGCCTCGGATGGCCTCAAACTCAACTGGACTGCAGCTGACGAGACTTATGAGCACTTTGCAATTCAGGTGCAGGAGGCTAACAAGGTGGAGGCAACTCAGAACCTCACCTTGGCTGGCAGCCTCCGTGCTATCGACATCTCTGGCCTCAAGGCTGCCACCCCCTATAGAATCACTATCTACGGGGTGATTGGGGATTATAGAACACCAGTGCTTTCTGCTGAGGCCTCCACAGGTACCGCTTACTTTCTTTCTTCCTACAGGAAACTACCCAGAGATAATCAGACACGGCTATTTTTTTAATGAGTTCATTCTTCCTTATGTTATATTGCTTTGGTGTCTAATAATGGAAACCAGGACACCAAGTTGCATAATGCGGAGGCACCATTTAAATTATTGTTGTTGATAAGTGTCAAGTCGATTCTGACTCATAGTGACTCTGCATAGGATTTCCGATGAGCAGCTGGTGGGCTTGAACTGCCAACCTTGTGGTTCTCAGTCCAATGCTGGTCTTACAGCCCCATACCAGGAGTCAGCTTATACTCCGTGTAAATGATTCCCTCTGGAGATGAGCAGAGTCCAGCCTGTGGGACAATATGCACAGCTCCAAAAGTTTATTCTTGTGTTAAAGAATCCCTGGATCTTCGTGTTTGATTTGATCTTTAAACTCGTTCTTTATTCTTCTTCAGGTGACCCTCCCAAGATGGGAGAGGTAACAGTGACCGAGGTGGACTGGGATAGCTTCAAACTCAACTGGACAGCTCCAGAAGGGGTCTATGAGCACTTTTACATTCAGGTGCAGGAGAGAGGAGACACAGTAGAGGCAGCCCACAACCTCACAGTCCCGGGAGGACTGAGGTCCGTGGACCTTACTGATCTCAAAGCAGATACCAATTATAGCATCAGCATCCGTGGGGTCATTCAGGACTTCAGCACAGCACCTCTCACTGTTGAAGTCTTGACAGGTATTCTAGACTAATTCACTAATTTGCTTCATTCCCTCTGTCTTTTCTCAGGAGAGATCAGAATTCTGTCCCACTCTAAACTATGCTCCTATCTGCTACCATCATATTGAATGAATACCAGTGAATCAGCCTCACTTCTTCCCAAATGCCATACTCCCTAATATGGCCATGTCCTACGAGTAGCATGGCAGCCCATCCCATGGGAAATTCTTCCTGCTTTCCCTGTACAGAAGTGAGAAGTGACTTTTCTTTCAAAGCAATTTGAGTCATAGTATATAAGAAGTTGGAAAACACAGCTTGGAAGTGAAAATTTAAAAAAAAAAAAAAAAAAGCTCTATGTTCATTTTCAGAATGCACTAAAGGATTCCCCAAAGGCCCTCTTTGTATATCAAGAATGGAAGTCATAAACAATTCTTAAAATTACATTTCATTCCCCAAGGCTAAATAGGAAACCCTAGTCCTAGTGGCAGCAATTAGAGTGTTCAATATCTAAGCTGTAACTCATGCTGTACTCAACACTAACCAGACGATTCATCCTAACCTTAGCCAGAATACCAACTCACCTGAACCCCAGGGTGCAATTGCCTGTTTTAGTAACTCACCAAATCTGTATCCTTGTGCAGAGAAAGGTCCAAGTCTGGGAAACATCACAGGGAACAGCGTTAGTTGGGATGTCCTCAGAATGGACTGGATCACACATGGTAACTTTGACCAGATTGTCATTCAGGCCCAGGAGACTGGCCAGGAAGAAGAGGCTCAGAATTTTACAGTTCCTGGCTACCAGAATTTTGTGGAAATCCCAGGTCTCAAGGCTGAAACTTCTTACACAGTTACCCTGCAAGGTGTAGTTGGGGGCCGTACCACGCCTCGCCTTGCTGTGAAAGTCTCCACAGGTATCTGACCCCTCTCCCAGAAAAGACTGATGATATAAGTTAGCCTGTCATTGGAATAGAGAAAAGTCCCAATGAGACAGGGCTTTCCCTCAGTGTTGTTGACAGGTAGCAAGAACACGAGCTGTCACTCAGGAAGATCTGGGTTGGAAGTCCTTTTTCTGGCTGGATATTCTTGGGCAAGTCACTTTACATCTCTGAGCCTTCTCTTCTCATCTTTAAATCAGAGAAGATACCCCTACTGCAGAATACTATTGCGAACAATAAATAAGATAATGAATGAAAGGACTTAGCAACATGCTCATTATATAGCAGATACTCAACAGTTGAACAATAAATAGCTAAATGTATTTATTTGGCTACAGAGTTCAAATAAAAATATTATAAATAGGCAAAGGATAAAGTCAGAGCTTTCAAGTAACCTTATCAAAAGTGGGCCCAGTGTCACTAAAACCATTCAATTTATAGGCAAATCTCTGCAGAATAACGTTTGCAGATGTTCTAGTAATCTTCTACTGAAATTATCCAAGTCTATCTTCTTAACAAGCATGCAAGGCTGAAACATTTCCAAGGAATGGTAGCCACATTTGACTTTCATGTTCTTCATTCAATTTATGGAGAAAAAAAGAATCTGTTAGTCCCCTGAAAATATGCTGCCCCATTTGTTGGAGAAAATAGTGTGCTGTTCATGAGGCTTCTAAAAATCATTTTAAAAAGAGTGCTGGTTGTGCAATGGTTAAGTGCTTGGTGGCTAGCTCAAAGGTTGGTGGTTCAAATCTACCCAATGACTCTCTGGGAGAAAGACCTGACCATCTGTTGTCATAAAGATCACAGCCTTCAAAGTCCTCAGGGGCAGTTCTACTCTGTCACGAGGACTTGAAATGGACTCAATGGCACCTAACAAAACAGCAGTGGTCAAATGCACTACATTTTTGGTCCTAATAGCTTTTCCCCTTGATTCTAACCCATACCCTTCAATAGACACTCAGTGTTTTGATTGTTGCCATCGAGTCAGTTCCAACTCACAGCTACCCTGTGTAGGGTTTCCAAGGAACTGCTGGTAGGTTTGAACTGCTGACTTTGTGGTTCGCAGTCCATTGCTGATCCTATTGTGCCACACCAGGAGTCCACCAGTGTTTTGATAGCACCACCCAAATAACCTAATTCAATTATATTGTTTTCCTTTTGCCAAATGAACTTGGATCTTGATGGAAATGACACACAGTTGCAAAAAGAAGGAAAGTGGTATTGTGAGTCACTGAGCTGACCAGGTTATTATTGTCCTGTAGTGTTTTCAAACAAAATAAGAACAAAAGGGCCTTTAAGACATGTGAGCTCTGGATGCTGTAGGCCAACAATGTACATTTATAGTTTGTAAACTTTCTTTAGCAGCAAAATTAATTTTTCTAAACGAAGTCTCACAAAACCAAACCCAGTGCCAGAGCGTTGGTTCTGACTCATGGTGACAGAGTAGAACTGCCCCAAAGGGTTTCTGAGATGGCAAATCTTTATGGGAGGAGACAACCACATCTTTTTCCCTCAAAGCAGCTGGTGGGTTTGAAAAGGTGACCTTGCAGTTAGTATCCCAACATGTACCACCAGGTGGTGGTGGTGGTTAAGTGCCATGGAGTCGGTTCCGACCCTGTACAGGGTTTCCTAGGCTGTAAATCTTTACGGGAGCAGAAAGCCTCATCTTTCTCCCGTGGAACAGCTGGTAGTTTCGAACTGCTGACCTTGCGGTTCACAGCGCCATTCATAACCACTACGCTACCTTAGCTCCTTTTGCACTACCAGGTGGATCCCACAATATGGCAGATGAAAGAGCAGCTGTTCTTGCTGAGCCAGGAAGAAGGGAATGCTCACCACCCATGCCCCACTCCAGTGCTTCCAGAAAAGCACCAAATTTATGTGAGCACAGTTGAGAACAAATGCTCTAGAGATAGAAGTTTCTCAGACTCTTGAGGTACCTGCTCCACTGAATTCTGAGATACCTGAGAACAAAGATCTTGTACCTTTTCTGTTATTTAGCTGCAATAATCGCAGGTATTTATCTAATCCATAGCCACATCAACATTAAAGAAAGAAGCTGACAGATTATATTTAAACCTGAGAAGCATCCCCACAAACACTGGGTTTTTCTATACTCCAAATCCAAACAATAAAGACATCAAATTTCCATACTACATTGTAAAAATAATTGCAATAATAATACGTCCTTCTCAAAACCAATTACTGAGAAAAACATAATCGTTTTTAATTAAAAGTAAGCATTCTCACAAGTGGTCTTACTTCATGATGCAGCCATTCTTCATTTAGACACAAAGTACCATTGGACTAAGCTGGGAGAATGACAATCAGCCAGCATCCCATCCATAAATTTGGATCGCTGAGTGCTGAGACAAATCCAGAGGGAAAACAGCATACTTGTCAAAGCCTGAAACAGCATGCACTTTATAAACCCAGACAGATAGCATGAGCCCAGCCATGAAATGATCTCTGTAATTTCAAGTAAGGAAATGAAGTAGGTGATTTTCTCCCATATTACTGAGAGTTCCAAGGGAAAATGTGCAAATAATGTATATTTTTATCAGGCTTTCACTATGTGTCAGGAAAATTTTATCATTTATTTTATAAATTATAAAATATTTGTAGGAGGTTTGTAAACACTTTATCATATAATCATTACACAATACAATCAAATAAGTACTATTGGCCCCGTTTAAAGGTGAGGAGAGTGAGCCTTGTTGTTGTAACATGCCGTCTATTCAGTTCTGACTCATAGTGACCTTATATAGGGTTTCCAAGGAGCAGCTGGTGGATTTGAACTACCGACCCTTTAATTAGCAACCCAGTGCTTATCCTAGTGAGCCTTATTGTTTTTGTAAGTGTCATCAAGTCAGTTCCGATTCATTGTGACCCTGTACAGGGTTCCTGAGAAGCAGCTGGTGAGCTTGAACCAGCAACCTTGTGGTTCAAACCGACCTTGCAGTCCAGTGTATTAACCTGAAGCACCACACCAGGATTCTGCAGAATGAGCCTTGTTGTTGTTGTTAAGTGTCGTTGAGTCGATTCAGACCTGTATGGGGTTTCTGAGGAGAAGCTGGTGAGCTTGAACCGCCAACCTTGCAGTTCAAACAACTTTACAGTCCAGAGTATTAAGCAAATAGCAGCATTGGAATTCTAACCAAGGTTCATCCTCCAAAACCTGCACTTATAACCATTCCCTACTTCCCTGGCCCACAACCCTGTGTACCCTTAGCTGCTGGCAATGCAGATTCAGAGACCACTCCGTGGGCCATGCATTCTCAGAATGTCATTACCATTTCAGGGCTTATGAATGCAGATGTTCCCCTTTCTGATCACACCAAACTCCTAAAGAAAACTGTGGACAAAGTACCAGAGTTCAAATTAGAGATGCAAAGAAACCATTAATGACCAAAAAAAAATAAAATCCCTTCTCTCACCCATTTCTTTCTTCCCTAGAGTTAGGCAGTGGCTGTTTGGTTTCCTCATGTACCCTTTAAAGAACTGACCAATACCTCTCTGTCCTCCTTCAGAGAAGATTCCGCTGGGAGAGTTGACCGTGACTGAGGTTGGCTGGGATGGCCTGAAACTCAACTGGACTGTAACCGACCAGGCCTATGAACACTTTGACATTGAGGTGCAGGAGGTTAACAAGGTGGAAGTAGCTCAGAACCTCACGGTGCCCGGCAGCCTCAGGGCTGTGGACATCCTGGGACTCAAGCCTGCCACCTCCTATAGAGTCACCGTCTACGGGGTGGCTCAGGGCTATAGAACACCAGCATTCTATGTTGAGGCATCCACAGGTATACCTTCTTCTCAATGCTTGCCCCTCAAAATCCCCTGCTTCTTTTCAAGAGACCCTGCTGGAGTCAGCTTCTCTCCATAGCTGACCCTCCTCCATGTGCCCTTCAGCTGCTGGCTGTGCATGCCCAGACGTCTCTCAGTGGACTGTGCCTTGAACCAGATGCCATTGCATCTCAAGGATGAGCCATGCAGATGTTGCCATCCCTGGCCTCCAGCCTTCTAGCTTCTCTTCTGCAAACTATGCCTGGCTGAGTCTACAACGTCATCTTTTTAATTATGCCTTTTTATTTTAGGAGACAGCCTGATGGTTTTCATTCTTCAGTGGTTGGTTATAACTGAAAGCATCTATCTAACCATTCCTATTATATGAGTTCTGGTGGGACAGAGATTATTTACTTTAGAAAGACGTTTGCTAGTTGGAGATGGTGCTTCATACTCCTTTACTTCAAGGGTTTGAGTACCATAGTTCTTACATTTATGAAATCCTGCTTTAAAATGCACTGAGTGCATTTAAATGAAGAGAACTGAAATTGACCTCATTTAGGAAATCGTCTCAAATCCTGAGTCATTGTTAGAACATCAAATTAGCAAATTACAGACCAAAAAGAAAGAGAAAAAAAAAAAAAAAATCACACAATTGTGACTAAAGAATGTACCAAAGAGAAAGCCATCCATTATCAGAAGTGCACACAGTAGCATTTGTCATAAGGACTGTCCCAGGCTATGAATGTATGTCAACAAACGGATACCCCTTTTGACCCTTCTACTCTAAAGCTGCTCCCTAGAGTGGTCACCTTTAAGTAATGTATGCCCCATCCCAGATCCAGGAGGATACATTATATTTGATGCACCACTATCCTCAGGTTGCAAAGCAACCCGTGTTTCCCTAGGCAACTACTAAGAACAGCCCTTCTCAGTACTGTCTTTAATTGTCCCGCTTCCTATGTGCCTAGACTGGTGGTATGAGAAATTCAGTAGTAGCTTTGCTGTTTTGCTTTGCATTTGTCTGTCCCCCACCTCTTAATATAATTGTTGTTGTTATAATTGTTAAGTGCTGTCTGACTCATAGCTACCCTGTATAGGGTTTCTGAGGAGTGGCTGGTGAGCTTGACATCGATGTTCCGCTTCAAACTGATTTTGCAGTCCAGTGTATTAGCCTGCAGCTCCACACCAGGACTCCTCTTTATATAATTACAATTTATATAATTTCATGACAAAGCTATAGGGCCTGGTTAATTGGAACAAATATGAATACGCAGCCACATTTCAGCCCCAGTCATTTCAGTAACTTTCACAGAGGTAAGCATGAAACACAGGCAGCCTCTGATGGTGGTTGTTATTAAGTGCCATCAAGTCAGTTCCAACTCAAAACAACCCTGTATAGAGTTTCCGAGGAGTGCCTGGTGAGCTTGAACCACTGACTTGGCTGTTCAAACCAGCCTTGTGGTTCAGCACATTAACCCACACTGCCAGAAATGGTCTTAAAAATTGGCAGGCCTAAAAATATGAGGTTGCCCTGCATGTACAGAGTCTTTTTAGCTGACATCCACAAACCTCCCCTTTCCGGGCGACAGAGAAGTCCCCTGCTTACTTGTAGTTTGGATGTTTTGGGTATTTTTATGCGATTTTTTTTTCCTTTTAATAATAGCAACATTCTCACATCAGATGAGTACAGAAAAAGGTGCATAATCCCATCTGCTCTGTGTCTCACCAAAGCTATTGGATTGGTCTCTAAGATTAGGTCTCTCTCCTTCCTTGTTAGCCAAAAAGGACTAACCTTTCAAGGCCTGCTTCTGCCTGCCCTCTGCATGTTTTATTCCTCTTGCTCAGAAAAGCATTGGCTGAGCTGTTTCTAAGACAAAATGTTATATCTTGGCCCAAAAGGGCTGCCTGGACTGCCTTGTTTTGGCTTCGCTCTCGTGATTGGCAATGTGATACTAGACTTCTTGGACCACATTGAAGCAGTTAAGATAAGAGAAGCTATTTTAGCAGAATATAAGAAAGGCTGGCTGGCCCATGTTCAAAGTATGAAGAAAATACCAAGAATTATACCAACAAAACTGCCAGGTCCCTGTAAGGCACAAAATTAGAAGCCTCAAGGTACCACCTTGGAAGGGTAATGGCGTCAGAGTTATTTAGTTTTCATTATAATAGATGGGAGCTTTCTCAAAGCAAAAGTTACCTGTAGGAGGGAGCCAAGTAATCTTGGTCCCCTGGGTGCAATTCAAGAGTCTGGAAGCTGCGTGAGCGTCTCTCTTTTGACAGATGGCCAGCATCCCTGAGGGGAAGCTTCCAGAAGCATCCAGAGCATGAGCACAGAAATTCCTGGTGAGATCATTCAGTTCATCTCCCCTCACCAGGATATTTTTGTCAGGGCCTGAGCATGTGTACAAGCTGCAGAGCCAAGCAATCTAACTGCCCTACCTTTGTGGTTAATATTTTTCGTAAAGATTCTCTTTATCTCTCTTTCATTAGCGCTGATAACATTTTGCTTCATTTCAGCAGTAATCTTGAGCTAAAAGATTTTTCTATCAAGCTACAGTTATATTCATAAGTTCAACCTTAATACATCAGTCAAATAATTAACTCTTTTTTTTTTTTTTTCCCCTTTTCTCCTGCCTCTCCTTTTTCAGCCAAGGAACCTGAAATTGAAAATTTAAATGTTTTTGATGTAACTGCTGAGAGCTTCAATCTCTCCTGGACAGCTCCTGATGGGGCCTTCGAGATCTTTACCATTGAAATTATTGATTCCAATAGGTTGCTGGAGAAGATAGAATATAATATCTCTGGTGCTGAACGAACCTCCAACATCTTAGGGCTTCCCCCTAGTACTGATTTTATTGTCTATGTCTCTGGACTTGCTCCCAATATCCGGACCCAAACCATCAGTACCACAGCCACCACAGGTACATGTGCCTTCTCCCATTTCTAACATCCTCTCTCCAGGTCTTCTTTACAGGTGAAGCCACTTCATCTCCTCATGCATGGAAGCACAAACCACAGTGTACTAACTCTTTTGTGATACAGAGCTGAAACACTGTTTAATGTATTTCTCTTCCAACAGCAGCCCAAGTGCTGATTATCCCAAAAGCCATTTACCTGATTTGTCAGCTGCCAGAACATTTGCAGCATGAGATGTAGTTTGGTCCAGATTATCATTAGGGATCAAGAAAAAAGAATTCTACTCTTCAGTAACTAAAAAGTCATAGCTAGAGTTTGCCTTGACTTGAAAAGATGTTTGAATGAGTCAAAGAGGTCTTAAATTTTTATTCTTTGTTAACCTAATGCCTTTGATCGCCTAGAGCCCAAATCTCCCAATGATTTCATGGAATTGAATTCATCATGGTCTTTTGGGTTTTATTTATTCCAAACTGGGGAAGTAAAGAGAAAAAGTAGTGATTATTCATCAGATAAGTAAAGTAAGGAATCTACCATTCAGAACGCCCCAATTATAGCATCTAGAAGAAAAGACTGGGCCATGCTGGGTTTTTTTTTCCCAGAATAATGAGTAGTTGGTGACAAAAATAAAAGTAAAATGGTCTTGTATAAACAAAGAGGTTAGTCAACAAAAGAGTAAACTGCTCTCACTTTAAATTGGTCATGTTTGTGAGACACATACTAGGCCTGATTGCCCTAAACCATGAGCCAAAGAGAATGCTATATGAGTTTAGAAAGAAGACCCTTGTCCATTCAAAATAGTCTTCTTAACATATTTGGTCAAAGGTCATGGTCATTGCCCTCTCATGACAGATAAATAAAATATTACAAACTGAAAATAAAAAGGATGTTTTTAGCATAAACACAGGGGGATTTCTCCTTATATATAACTCATGAAAAGGGACCCCATATTCAGGAAGTTCAAAAAGAGGGTTAATAGTGTGGCATCATAGCTACCTATCTTATAAGTTGCCTATGGTTGACAGAGGGCCTCTCCTTATTCTGTGTGAGACCACAAGCTATTAGCAGGGTGGTCCATAATAAAGGCAGATGGTTAACATTAGCTAATTCCCATTTCAGGCTGATTAAAGTAGTTTAAAAGCTAAAGGAGAAACATATTTGATTCTCAGCACTTAAATTCTTTTTCAGCAAAGGGCAAGTTCCTTTATTGGTAGACCAGGAGGTAAACTCTAAAATTTTATGGATTTAGTCTTCTGTGTTTTGATTTTGACCCTATAATTGTGTTTTCAATTGCCCCTGCTTTCATATTGGTTTCTTCTTTCTTGAGTAGCCAAACCTCTTCTTAGTGACCTCACTGTCTCATATGTGACCTGGGACAGTGTGTCTATCTCTTAGAAGGCTCAGGAATCCTCCTTTGATAGCTTTCTCATAGAAGTTCGGATTCTGACCACCCCCCGGGGACAGTGGTACACTCTGTGCCTGGGGTGTCTCACAGCTCTGTCATCACCAACCTCAAAACTTCTGATTATACTGCCCATTGCCATGGGCTGATTGGAGGGCAGCTAGCTCAGACCCTGATTGCCCTAGCAACCACAGGTATTTCAATGATACGTTCTTCATCCCCATAATTCCCCTGTATTCCAGTTTTCATCCAAATAATTCTTCTGGATCCTTCTTGGATTTGATAGAACCATCCAAATCAGGGATTTAAAGCTTTCAAATAATTCTCACCCCACATTAAAAACTTTTTGAGTGTCAACTTTTTTTTCCTAAATATCCACTTACATCTGGAGTTGCGCTGTTTGTTTGTGTATCATTAATCTGGCTTGTTTGGGTTGGATTTCTTAATCATTCTTTCATCTAATCTTGAATAATCTTTTCCAATACCACATTATCATCTGCCTGTGGTCTTTTAATCATGGATTGCCTATCAAAAAGATGTATGCATGTCATATTTGGTTCCTTGTTCAGAATGCTCAATTTTCTCCTTTCTCTCTCTTTCTGGATCTTAAACCCTGTAATGTTGGTTCCCCTAACCTACTAAGAAGAAAATCTAAATCATACCCAAGCAACCCAGTGGTCTCCTCTGGTTCTTGAGATTTTTATTCGTCAAGATCCCTTGCAAGCAGACTTCTCTTTTTTGGTACTTCCCCTGTCAAGCATGTTTCACCGCCTGTTGGTATCTGTCACATAGTGTCAGACCCTCACGTGCCTCCATCACCTTGTCTAACTCTTTGTGCATGTGGTGAGCATTACATTTTTGAAAATGTCTGTCTTTCTTGGAATCAGACAGCATGTCCAGGAATTGTTTCAAAGAATTAACAGGGGTAGAAAAAGAATGTTCCTAGCTTGTAGGGTACACTAACCATATACTAACTGCTTTTTTTTCCCCCATGATTTTTGTTTTTGTTTTTTACATCTCATTTTGTTGCACTTTTTTGGGGAGACAACTGGAGGTCAAGACAACCTAAGACCCTAACTCTTATTCTGCATGGCTAATGTGCTGGCTCTTCCAGTCTGTCTGATACCATGAGAAAAATCCTAGCATTCACCCCTAATTCAGGAGATTGTTCCTAAAACAAAATGTAGGGAAAGTGGTAACAGATTGGAAGATTTTACCTTTGTGTGATTCTGGGAGTTAACCAAGCTTGTAGCTGAAAACTCTATCAGCAGTAGTTTCTCAAATTAATTGCAAAATAATTGCAAAATCCAAATTCTTGTAATTTTAGAGACTCTATAGCATCAACTTATGCTGCAAAATTGTTCATTTTTACTTGACTTAAATCGTTCCCTCTTTCCTCCAAATACCCGAACCTAAAGAAAAATAATCCAACACCTTGAAAAAAGGACTGAATCCTGATGCTAGTACCCCAGTCCTCCTGGATTGTTGCCCCTTTCTAAAATGCAATCTGGCTCAAACTCATTTTAATGTTACTATGATGTCATAAATAAGCATTTTGGAGGCTATCTTACATCCATTTATGTACACCAGCTGAATGTAGCTCTATGGCCCCCCTACATTAAATGCATTACTCTCATCATTAGTTGTTTCAATTTTAAGGTAAAAGAGAAATTTAACCTCAGTAGAAACACCCTCTTTCCAAATTATCCAATAAGTGAACTTCCTGTTCAGGAAATACAATGCCTAATGTCAAGTAAGGAGCTCTGGTAGTGTAGTGGTTATGAATCGGGCTGCGAACCGCAGTTCCGTGGGAGTAAGATGAGGCTTTCTGCTCCCGTAAAGATTTACAGCCTTGGAAACCCTGTACAGGGTCGTTCTGAGTTGGAACTGATTCCATGGTGCATAACCACCACCAATGTCAAGTAGTCATCTGACTTGCTTCCTCCAGGGTTATTTTTTAATGGAAGGCCATCTTTACCTTTAGAATATTTTAGGTTATATGTAGATTTTCCTACAGCCCATACCTTTGGGTTTCTAAATACAACAGAAAATTTCTCTTTTATGAAGATCATCTTTTAATTTGTATAACCCAAATAGATCAAAAGACAATTAAATACAGAAATTCCAAAATAGCATGTTGAGTGGAACACCGACTCCTTTAGATGTTCAAGGAATACTCAGAAAAAGGTATTCATTGATCAATATGTTTATTAGATTAGGAAAGTTAAGTATGTTTCTTTCCAAAGCCCCACTTTTAGAGCCTTCTAAATACTTCTATTCTTCATGAATCTTTAAGGTAAGATATAATATTCAGTGTTTACCTGGCATATTTCAGCATGGAGTTGTCTTTTATTGGAACACATTAAAGACCTACTGCCCTACTACAAACTTTGCGAAATGTAGCTTTAATACCTTTCCATTAAAATGACCACTCTAATGACTTGTTGAAGGAGCTCTGGTAGCGTAGTGGTTACTAATCGGGCTGCGAACCTTAAGGTCAGCGGTTCGAAACTACCAGCTGCTCCGCGGGAGAAAGATGAGGCTTTCTACTCCCGTAAAGATTTACACCCTCGGAAACCCTGTACAGGGTCGCTATGGGTCGGAACCGACTCGATGGCACTTAACAACAACAACAAGTGAAGAAAAAGCAAACACTATTGCAAAGAAGTCTTTCACATTCCCTCTTAGAAGTGTTCTTAACAGTTGCATAAAGTTTTTAATCATTTCTATTTCTCAGTTTTATAGGCAGTTAAGCTCAACATTTGGAGATTTTGGATAAATAGTGACTCCTAATAGAGATATTGTTGTTGTTAAGTACTGTAAAGTTGGTTCCAACTCACAGTGACCCTGTGTAAGGTTTTCAAGAGCAAAAACCCTTGTCTTTCTCCCCAGTGACTAGTGGACTCAACCTATGGTTAGAAGTACAGTGCTTATCCTACAGAGCCACTATAGTCTCAAAAGAGGCCTAAATGGGTATTTTGTCCATAAATCTCTGTCAAGTAAGATAGTCCATCAACTATTTGGCTCAGAAATATAGTAGTCTATATTTTTAAAATATCTCTTCTTCAGACATCTGCAACACATTAATGAAGGTTCAAAGTAGGATGGCAGATAAATCCCCTGTTTAATTAAACCTTACCATTCATTAAACTTGACTGCTAACTACACTTTGAATTACATCAAGATGTTATTCCATTTTTTTTTTTTCCTTTGGTGATCCTAAAGTGATGGCAAAGGCTGCAAAGGTGTCAGTTTACCAAATGTCTTGCCTTCAAAAATTGTTTGGAAGTCTCTTGCCTCCCACAAGGGTAATTTCAGGACACTGACTATGTTGTCTGATCCTCACCTTGAGCCAGGTCTCTCCCAGGGTCTAACTTGCTATAAATAAGAAGACAGTCCTATCAATCTACTTCCCCAAACTCAGACATTGACAGTGCAGTGGAGCACAGTTGAACACAGACACACATGGGTTCTCACGAGTCAGAATTGACTTGAGAGCAATTGGTTTATAATAAGTGTAATTAAATATTTAGCTGGAAATGGCGTCGTGTATTGGAGGAGTGAGGATTGTGAGACCAGGCTTCTAGTCCCCTCCCACAGTGTTTTAATTCCATACCCTTGGCAAGTCTCTAACTTCACTGACCTCCAAGGGTCTTGTTTATGAAGAGAGAGTAACTACAGATGGATCTCTCAGCCTTATCTCAGGGGTAAGTGGCTATGATGGAATTTACCTAGCTCACAGAAGTCCTGGTGATACAGTACTTAAGCACTCAGCTGCTAGCTGAATGGTTGGCAGTTTGAACCCACCAACAGCTTCGTAGGAGAAAAACCCAGTGGTCTGCTCCCATAAAGATTGTTGTTAAGTACCATCAAGTCAGTTCCAACCCATAGAGAATCTGTATATGGTTTCCGAGGAGCAGCTAGTGAGCTTCTACCACCGACCTTGCTGTTCAAACTGACTTTGCAGTCAAGTACAGTAACCCACAGTGCCACACCTGGACTCCCCATAAAGATTGTTGTTGTTGTTGTTAAGTGCCGTCGAGTCGGTTCTGACCCATAGTGACCCTGTACAGGGTTTCCGAGGGTGTAAATCTTTACGGGAGTAGAAAGCCTCATCTTTCTGGTAGTTTCGAACCACTGACCTTAAGGTTCGCAGCCCGATTTGTAACCACTACGCTACCAGAGCTCCTTCCCATTACAGCCTTAAAAATCCCATCGGGAAGTTCTACTCTATTACATGGGGTCACTGTGAGTCGAAATCCACTCAATGGTCCCTAACAGCAATAACACCAGATACATTCTGCTGTTTCCCAACAACATGTTCCTGAAAATATTCTAAATGCCTAGATAGAAGCAATAGACCTACATATCAAACTTCCCCTTATTTTTAAGAGAACATCAGACATATAAGTTTAAAAAGTAATTCTTTTTCCTGCTCAGTTGTCTGATGTAAATTAAATTGTTCAGTTCAGTCTCCAAATGCAGAAAACAGTACTTTCTTGGAGAGGGGAGGAAGAGTAACCATGAAATGAGAATCTCACTGCCCAGGAGGGGAGGAATGAACAGAGATCCTCCCAGCCCTACTTGTAGGCTTTTACATGACCTTGGACAGATGAGAGAGAAGAAAGGGAATCTGGGAGAGTTCAGGCTGTGAGAAACCAAGTGCCGTGTTAGTTTAATCCATGATGTGAAAAGACCCTGTATTTTAAAAGAAGCATATTTAAAAAGAAAACACTGATCAAGAGGGACTATAAATAACAAATCCTCTGTTTACTAATTACCCTGAAGCTCTCATTTTGATTGGAATTCTCTGCTTTGATAGAGTGGAGGTACCAAGAGGCCAGCTATTAAAGAGAGGCGCCACTTATCTAAACAGCCTAGTAACAAACTTTTAGTCCCTTGTATCTCAGATGAAGAAGACTGTTTACACAGTATATGTGATTTCATCTTTGCCTTTGATAGAGTTATGATTCTTTGGAGAACTTTATTGTGGAGGAAAATGCCTCAAAATAAACACCAAGTGTTTCAAAATAAGTACAGGAAGTCCAAGCCACAGCAAAACTAAACTCACTGCTTTGGGGCTCAGGAGACTCATTCATTTGTTCATCAGTCACCAAACACTTATTTTTCAAACATTTTTCTTTACATCCCATGGATTAGATGCTGGGCATTTGTGCAACATCATTTACCTCTGTGAAAGTTTCTATGTAGTTACAATGGAAACACAGGTTCTAAACTGAATGGTGCTAAAGTAGCCTTGGTCCTAGAATTTCTGTCCCTATGTCCCCTCTGATTAAAAAAAAAAAAAAAAAAAAAAAATTCACCATTACCGTGTTTCATTTTACCAAAGGAATTGGCCCTTAGCCACTAATCCTGCTTAATCCTTAACATCTGCCAATCCTGGCAGGTCCAATTAATTAGACATTGGCTTGGGGTGTATAAAGAACATTGAATGTGGAGTCAAAGGCCCTGGTTGGAACCCTAGTTGGAGCCCAGCTTAATTGTTTAGTAGTTGTGTGATCTTGGCTAAGTTACTTGACTTGTTTTCTTGGATGTCATTGGTAGGAACGGGGTGAGAAAATAGTAATATTCACTACCCTGTAATGTCATTGTGAGAGTAAAGTAAGAGAGTAGATGTGAACCCTTGTCAGCTGAGAACTATTGAGAAAAACTTAGCTAGACTAAACTTACTTCTTTGGGGGAACTCCATTGTGTGAAAGACCTCCTGGTACCTGAGAATAGAGCTACCTGGGACACAGATGATAGTTGAATGAGTGATAAATAATGATGACAGAATTTACTGAAAATCCAGATATGTCCTTGTCTCCTAACTGTATCCAGGAAAATAAGTAGCAAACAAATGGGCCACAATCGTGAATTAGTGGTTTTGATCCATGAAAAATGTTATCACGTTCCCTTTATCTCAGCTTGTGAGGATGTGTGATTAATTGGCCTAGTCACTTTAATTCCAAATGTGAACTAGAAATAGGATAGAAACATATGAAGGGTTCCAAAAAGGAAGTATAATTAGAAATAAAACTCATTTGTTTTAAGACCAGACAGTAGTGGAAATAGAAAAAGGGGTCCAAACCAAACACAAGATATTCTATTTGTATAGGGAGAAATCTGTGGCCTTTGAAATCAGACCTACCTAAATACCCGACTCTTTATAACATACTAGCTCTGCAACTTTGACCAAGTCAGTTGACTTTTTGAAACTCAGTTTTCTCATCTATTTAGTAGGGTAGCCTACATCATAGGCTTGTTTATGAAAATTATTAAAGGTAATACCATCTGGCATCTAACAAGCTCTTACTAAATATTTGTTTTCTAAGTGTGTAAACATTTCATGATCGATCAGGTATCAATGTTCTTGGAGACTTGTATTATCTTGGCAGAGTCCTTGCTGCTAACTTGAGTTATTTTCATCCTTCCCTTCTTTCAGAGGCCCTGCCCCTTCTGGAAAACCTAACCATTTCCGACATTAATCCCTACGGGTTCACAGTTTCCTGGATGGCATCGGAGAATGCCTTTGACAGCTTCTTAGTAACGGTGGTGGATTCTGGGAAGCTGCTGGACCCCCAGGAATTTACACTTTCAGGAACCCAGAGGAAACTGGAGCTTAGAGGCCTCATAACGGGCATTGGCTATGAGGTTATGGTCTCTGGCTTCACTCAAGGGCACCAAACTAAGCCCTTGAGGGCTGTGATTATTACAGGTATTTCAGTTCAAGTGAGCCATTCTCTTCTCTTCCCAGTTCCCTTCCACATAATCTGTCTACCAGATCACCCTAATTTTAACATCCTTGTCCATATCCCCTATTTAATCCAAAAATGTGGTCTATTCTTGTGTGTTCCATCCACACTGTCTCATGTCTTATATATCTAATGATCACTCACCCTCTCCCTTCTCAAACAAGAGAAGGTCGAAATGTTTCTACTTGGTGTCCCAAATCCTTTAGAAGATGTCTTCTCCATAACTTTTGTGTGCTTATTCCATATCACCCTTTCCTGTGTACATCCTGGCTGGTCCTCAGTTGAATTTCAGCCTTCTCAAAATAAATATACAGATGAGTATATTTCACAAACTTATTGAAAGCATTTACCATCTCAAAGTCTCAACTATGAGCTTGACAAGCGAAGCAGGGACTCGTGATTGGAAAACCAAATGTGGACTTAGAATGTTGGTATAAACACTAATATCAGATTCTTAACACAGACTAAATCCATAACTTTTCAAGACTAATAATTCCCATAAAAATATAACTTTAACAACGTTAACAGTCAAAACTCTGTGTTTCCCAAAGTCTTCCTAGAGATTGCTAGCATTAGCGCCACAGAACGTTCAAAGGTCCTCCCTACTAAATAAGATCCAATCTCCAGTAAGTTTTGGACCAACTGAGTTAAACAAAGTTAAACCACACTCATGACCACAAGTCTCTTTAGAACACCCTTATGTACCTTGTGTACTTCCAAAAGGGACTTACACAGATGGTATTTCCTAAAGTTATCTGACAATGGCTACCTTTTAAGAAAGAGAAATTGTTTTCTCTGAGCACACTTTGGGAAACTCAGCTCAACATTGACTTTGACACTGAGTTTTGTCTAGTTAAGGCAATCCAAGGTGCAACCTTGGGTCCAAAATATGTAGCACAAAAGGTTTTACCATCTGAACATTTATCCAATGGCTATGAAAAGGTTTAAAACAGAAGAAAAAAAAAAAGGTGAGGGCTGGCGGAGTCAAGAGTAGAACCTTCTTTAGTAAAACAACTCTAAGAACAAAACAAAGTGACCACATTTAGAAAGTCATCTTGCTCAGACTCGAGGGAAATATAATCAACAGTATCATTATGGGCAGCTCTACAGATGGTTAATGCTGGTTTATTTGTCTTTTCAAAAAGAAAAGAAAAAGGTCTAACAGAGGATGGGCACTCAGCCACTGGAAGACAGAAAGCAAATGTAAACAAGTTACTCGCTTTGAACTTGTTTAATAATGCATGACAGGCACCAATGCTGAGTCCAGATGTGGATTTATAGATTTGCTTTTAGACAAAACTCACATATGCAAGCAAACATTTGGCTTGTATTGAATGTGTCAACTCATCTTTCTCCTTTCCTAGACTTGTTAATGTTGAATCATTTTATTTTCGGTATCTCAGGACACTTCTATCTCTGAGAGCCCAGGCATCACCGTATACTGATACCCCCACTGGGCAGAAGATTGCACTGGCTAGTGGTAAATAATGTTCTCTTTCTTTCCTCCTTCTCCAACCATTTTCTCCCTCTTCAGAAGCCGAGCCAGAAGTTGACAACCTTCTGGTTTCAGATGCCACTCCAGACGGTTTCCGTCTGTCTTGGACAGCTGATGAAGAAGTCTTCGACAGTTTTGTTCTCAAAATCAGAGATACCAAAAAGCAATCTGAACCACTGGAAATAACTCTCCTTGCCCCTGAACGTACGAGGGACATAACAGGCCTCAAAGGGGCCACTGAATATGAAATTGAACTCTATGGAATAAGCAATGGAAGGCGGTCCCAACCAGTCAGTGTCATAGCAAGAACAGGTACCGTAAACAAACAGGAGAGGACAGAGAAAAGGAATGATGGGGGGGGTAGGGCACTCCTTCTCAAAGGCTAACAAAAAGCTTTTGATTCTGGGTTCAGATCTTAGCTCTGTGTGGCCTGGAACAGTTTGATTAAATCTTTTTTGCAAACAGAGGATGTTATTTAGTTCATAGGGTTGTAAGGATTAAACAAGACAATTCATGTAAAGCACATAGCAGAGGGTCTAGCCCATAGCAAGCAAGGGCTCAGCAAATGAGTGCTGTTTGCATTTTCATTGTTATCATTAATATATCATTATAATCATGACATTGTTATATTATCTCATCAGACTTTATCCGGGCATATGTTTTCTTGTTCTTTAGTCAAACCTTCTATCCACAACCTCCAGGCACTGATGGAGAGTGGCATCCCCACCTCTACTGTTAATATATAAAATGCTGCATGTGAATATCAGTACTGTGGTCAGTAAAGGAAAACAGCAGGAAGCTAGCAAAGTTGATGTGTTTGTATCGCTGCTGTGGTTCATGGAGCTTACTAACATTATTTAATTCATAAGAACTCTAAAAGGCACTTCAAGGCAAAAAGGAAAGCTCTTGTCCATGTGAGTCATGTTGATTCAAGGAGGGAGGCAAAAATCAGAAAAAGAAGGATGGTTAATAACATGACTGTTTATAATAATTGTACTAAGAATAACATGAATCTTTAAAAGGAAAAGTCTACAACAGATGGGGTGAATGCCTTCAGAAAGCTGAGGGAGATGCAGAAACTTGTCATTCACTAGAGCCAGCTGCTTCACAGAGGATGCTAAGAAAAGAAACACAAAGTCTCACAGGTAGAGGTCAAATGGACCTGAGGAATGATGTAGCTCAGTCGCTTCTGTTTGTAGAAAAGACTCTGAGGTCTAGAAAGGTTGGGTGACCTGCCTAAGATTGCAAAGCTAGATTAGACGTAGAACTCAAATGGTCAACTTATTTTAATAGTGCTAACTATAAGCTCTGGTAGCGTAGTGGTTGTGAGTTGGGTTGGCTAACCTCAAAGTCAACAGTTTGAAATTGTCGACTGCTCCTCGGCAGAAAGGTGAGAATTTCTGCTCCCAGAAAGATTTACAGCATTGAACAACCTATACAGGGTTGCTATGAGTCAGAATCAACTCCATGGCACACCAACAACAACTATTAGCTGGTTAGAGCATAGATAACCAATTAATCTACGAGGAGGCTCTAGAAATTTCATGGAAAAGATGATAGGATTGTTTTCCATAACCTTGTTGAATCCTCATATGTACCTACCATTTCTGGCAGATATGGAAAATAAGATAATAAAACACTCTCCACTTTGTCTGAAATGGGTATTTTAAGATACCAAGTTCGAGAACCTAACAAGCTCCAAGAAGCCACCTCTAGAAGTCATAGTCAGTATTTGCAGATGAGCCAACGCTGAAATGCAGGCAGCGATTTAGTCAGAGGAGAAGCCCTGTTTCTTGTTAGCACCATTCCTGGGACACGGGCCCAGGGCTCCTCCATATGGCTGCCAATAAAGCGACTCCAGATCAGAGGCAAAGCCTGAGTTTGACCTTGGCTTAAAAGCACTTTTCAAAGTTGACTTCTGATCACTGATTTTGTTCTGGTGATTTCCCCCCTCCAGAGGCCCTGCAGTTTTAAAGAAAAAGAGAGAATGAATAATCATGAATTGCTGGGGTTTTTTTTTGTTTTTTGTTTTTTTTTTAAAGAACAAAAGGAAAGACAGACCCTGATCTTTCAGAAAGACTTCTCTTTGATTTCCTTCTTGGGGGCTCTGTTATTTCCCAGCCAAAGGGAATGTGGGTGTAGATCGGTGTGCCTACACACGTGCATTCATGTAGTAGGAAAAGGATAAGCAAGCAAGGGGATTTTCAGTAAAGATGTCTAATCTCCATCTGCACCTCCTCACCTTTATAAAGCTTCTCTTTTGTTTTCCATCCTTCCTGCACTTCTCTCTTTGCTCCTTTATACTGTTGCAGGCCCTTCTATGTGATGTTGTATTCCTCTTTGTCCTCCTCTCCCTGAGAGACCCCTCTCCCTAAGCATAGGCTGTGGCTCTGAGTCACCCAGGGTGGCAGGGAGGGGAGTTGGAAGCAGTGTAACCTAGTGATCATGTGTGTAGTCTCTGGAGAGATTCTTGGAGTCTAATCTTGGCTTGGCCTCCTACCATCTGTGTGACTGTGAGTGACTCTCTTTTCCCCTCTGAGCGTCAATTCCCTCATCTGTAAAATAGACTACATCAAAGGTCAGACACAGGGTTAACTTAGACCATAAATGTCAAGGAATTCACAGAATTTGTTTCTCCATAGTAAGAATATTAGCTATTACTATATGTGAGTAATTTAATGTAAATTTAATTAAAAATTTAATTTTTAACTGGCCACTTAGTCCAAAATTAAAGTTTAAAAAAGAATATACAATGAAATCTTTATTCTACTGTAGCCCTACCTACCACCCAGTTGTCCTTTTCAGAGCTTACTAATAATGTTAGCAATTTCTTGTATATTCATCCAAAAATATGCTATATAAATAGTAAAAACTAAATATAAATTTACCTTCTATTGCTACAATCATTGACATGTTACCCATTCTTCTACACTTTGCTTTATTTGTAATTATTAGTGAATCTCAGAGATAGTCCCATACACTTGGGCTATCATTAATATTGTCTCCTCTGTACTTCAGTCCCTGCATTTGCATGGGCTCCTTCATTATAATTGTCTTGGTCCTTCTTTGGGAGACTCAGAGTTGACAGGAGCTCCATTTGTCTCCAAAGAATTAAATGCCAACATTCATCTGTCCAAAGTCCCCAGAGTAGGCAGAAAAAGATAGTCTAACAACAGGGTAAGATGTCTTTGTCATTCTCTTCTGGAGCTTCCTACAGCCCACCCTAGGGGTTTAGAGAGAAAAATCAGAAATGGTTTTTCACCTTCCTCCATCCCCACCCCAAACACCCAGTGCTAGTCCTGTCTTCTAGATGAAGTCAATGTGAGTAAGCCCTTTTCTCCTAACTCTTTGCATGTGTTCCATCCTTGCCCTGTCTTTCCCATCCAGGCATCTCTATACACGATTCCAGTTCAGATTCCCTAGAGCCAACACACCTCAGAGTTGCATTGTGCCCATGGAGTTTGAAGACACTTGTTGGCAATTCTCTTCCTTCTGAACTGGCCTCTTAGTGCTTGGTGCCTCTGGCTCAGACTCACATGTCATCTCCCCCACCCCCACCCCCATGCCCAGAAACATAATGATGAAACCCATCATAGTTGCCATCAAGAGAGCAAGGTGGCTTGCACACTTCACCTCGCTGAATCTCTGTGACCTGGCCAGACGAGATTAATACCACATTCAGGCACATCTCACAGATGCAGACACTGAGACCCAAAGGGTCAAATGTCTGCAGTTAGGAAGGCCAGAAGTAGTACTCATACCAGGCCAGTCTAAGTCTAATATCGCTGCTCTTAAATTATATTGGCTCCAACAGCTGTCCACTAAGTTTCACACAAGACCTAGCATATGGTAACTGTTCAACAGAAGTATGTTGAAAAAAGAAATACATTTTTTAAATGGACACATAATGAAAGGTATATACACCTTTTTTAAGGACATTGCAGCCAAAAAAACTCTATGAAACAATTCTACTTTGTCACAAGGAGCCAGAATTGATTTGATTGTTTATTTGATTTTTGACTCCAAATTTTGAGAATCGACTCTATGCAGAGAGCAAATAACAGCTCTCTTGAACCTCCTTGAGAGTTTGTAGCGATTCCAGATGTTTTCATAATGGAGAGACTTTTGGAAACCAATTGTCTCCTTGGAAAGAGGCATGTGGCATTGCCTTGCATATGTCTCCCATCTTTTCAATGGCTGCAATTTAGTTATTCTGTGAGGCTCCATCTTTAGTTTCCATCTTCTACTCTGCAGTGAAGCTGGAGACTTGTGAGTCATCCTATTCATGGAAGGAGGAGAAAGCCAGAATATCTCATTCTCCTTGACTCTAGAATTTCAACACTAGTGCACCCTTCCTTCAGGTTACATATAACTACCTTCTTGCCACCACTATTATCACCACATGCCCTAGTTACTCTTGAGGCTTAAAAGAGGAGGCAGATACCATTGCTCTTTTACAGATGGTAATCCTGACAGATAGCAGAAAGCTGTGGTTTGCCTCACCTTCTAAACTGTATCAGAGCTTGAACCAATGGGATTTGCAGTCAGGGAGGAAGTCAGAGTGACCCATCTGGCAGCAGGGCAGCCCTCAGTTCTTGAGTCTATGCAGCTCACTGGTGTGTCTTTCTCAGCTGGCCTTCCATGGATCTTTCCTGGGGCCTGCCTCAAAATCTAGGATGGCCCACAGAAGAAAGTATCACATGGAAAAGTACAGGGAGGGCAACTGTGTTTACTGAATTCTTTGTGCAGGCCAGATACTACATTACAGGTTTTCTTTCCATTATCTCATCAAATTGCCACAGCCTACCAATGGGAGGAAACTGCTTTCCCCACTGGAGAGATGCACCAACTGAGGCTCACAGAAGTGAAGGAGTCTGGTCAATGTTGCCTAGTCTCTCAGTGGCTTTGGACAGTCTTCCAGGCTCCAGAGTTCTGTGGTTTCCCAAGCTTTCCAAGGAGAGGGCAGAAATGCAGCACCCACAGAGTCTGGGGGTGGTTGTTAGGTCACAGGAGAATGCCGTAGGAGGAGATGTCTTGGTTGAGGAAAAAGAAAAACCTCCCCAAAGAGGACTGTGGGTTTCAGAACTTAATGATCAATGTGGGCTGGAGAGGGGAAAGGATGAGGAAGTGAGTTCTCTGGAGACCTGAAAAGTGTTTCCTGAATTCTCTAGTTAGGCCTAGTCAGCTGAAGAGGGCAAAAATCTAAGCCAAAAACGACACAGAGAGGAGCCAAAGGAAACTGGGCATGAGGGGAGGTAATTAAGGAGCAAAGATTGCCTCCTAGGCACGGCTTTCCCACCAGGTAGACCCACTGTTTTGTTGGGTATTTGTTTTGGTTCTATTCCTGAGGTTCCCTGGCTGTGGATCTCCTTTTGATTCTGGGAAGGAGTTTGTCTAAGTCAATTTCTAAGTGAACTTTGCTTCCAGGATCCCAAGGCTGTGTTGGAATCTGCTGCCCAGTCCTGAGACCCAGAAAGTTTACATCTCAGAAATATTTACCGGTGAACTCACCATTAGTTTGTTCCACTGCAAAATGGCAACAACCACATCTTCTTCACAGGCGTTTCTAAATGAGAATCGAGTAAAGAAAAACCTGGGTGAAGGGACCATATAAATTGAAAAGAAAAAAACTGCAGTTCATACCTCTTGGTTCTTAACCCTTTAATAAAAGAAAGTAGAAAATAAAAATTAGAAAATAGACTAAAAATAAAAGGAGAGCAATTCCAACTTATGAAACCACTCTCCTTCATTTTCTTAGAACTCAACTGTGTGGCTAAGATCCCCCCTTTAATGGTATCTAATAGCTACTCTACAGCATCAGGCCCTGTACCTGAATAAAGAACATTGTTTCTATGAAGTCATAACTTGGCCATGATTCACAGCACTTACCCTTCTAAAAGCCTGTCTGGGATACAAAGTCTAGAGTCTAAATTTTCCTGGATTCGAATTCCAGGATGAATGGCTGATGAACAAGATCATTTATTGTTTCTGTGTCTCCCTTGTGCTTTCTCCTTAACAGCCATGGGCACCCCGAAGGAAATCATTTTCTCAGACATCACTGAAGACTCAGCCACTGTCAGCTGGATAGCACCCACTGCCCAGGTGGAGAGTTTCCAGGTTACCTACGTGCCCATTATTGGAGGTAATGCAGTTGGAGGTGGGAAGCAGCCTGGAAGAATTGGGAAAATAGACTAGTGACTATTCTTCCAAGCATCACAGCCAAAGAAAATTATTCTTGAAGAGACACCATTTTTAAAGTGCTATGAGACCCCTAGGAGCCCTAGTGGTATAATGGTTAAGTGCTCAGCTGCTAACTGAAAGGTCAGAGGTTCAAACCAAATAGCCACCCTGTAGGAGAACAATGTGGCCGTGAGTCTGTTTTTCAGTTTTGTCTGAGATCCTTAGAAGAAACTACTTCTAGTATAAGATTTCCTGCTTTGCCCACTGCTATCAAGTCAAGTCCACTTATAGTGACCCTATAGGATGGAATAGAATTGCCACCCATAACATTTGCAAGGCTTACTTAAATCTATAAGGAAGATTTCCAGGTAGCAGCTGGTGGGTTCAAACCATTAATCTATCTATTAGGAACTGAATGCTTAACCATGCCAAAAGGGCTCCTCCCATGAGAAACAGATGCCCAGTAATGTTGAGACACCATGACAAGAGAGTCTAAGAGCAATGCTCATTTCCTCTTTGAACAGACATTTATGTGAAAAGCTAGTCTTGACCTTGATGTAGGAGCTTTTATCCTTGAGTCCCCAAACCTATGGGTTTCAGTATTGGCAAGGAGAACATGCGACTTTGAAGTTTTGGGGTTGCTAATTCAGAGCTTCCATGGGCAAATCAAAAGCATATTTCTTGACATAGAGCTGCCTAAAAACGTACTCACTCTGACGTCATGAATAAAACTAAAGTGTCATGAGACGTGCACACAGGACCCTCGCTCTCTTCCTGGCTGTCAGTCTATGGCTGACACATTTGGTTCTGGTGCCAGACTTTAAGTGTAGCTCTTCAAGACTAGACTGCATAAGGAACAGATTAAAAACCCAGGTCTGTTTTAGTCTGCAGAGAAAAAGATGCAGGGACCATGGCATTTGTCTTTTGAATTTCTGAGGAGTTGTATGTAGATGTCATGAGCTATAATAGAGATCACAGTGAAGTGCAGTCAAATCTGTTTAAAGACAGAGTGAGATACCTTCTACTGAAAGTGTGCAGAGAGAGCATGGCAGGTAAACTCTTCAAAAGAATGCTCCGGCACCTCGATAGGAAGTTGGATCAACATGTACAAACTCTTCCATGGCTCTAAAATTCTAATATAAACTCTGATTTAAGTATAGGAGCACAGATTTGACTAGGACCATCATCTTTTCTTAAATTATAGAATTCCTGCTAGTAGCAAGAATTTCCCAGAAGAAAATCTATATATTCCTATGCTAGAACAATAGATTCAATTGATCAGATATGTATTACATAGTGAGCTTCTTGTATTCTTTGTAGAAAAAATTAAAATAAAGAAAATCACATTGTCGCAACTTGCCAACTCTACTGAACAGAAACTAGCCATTTTTAGTACATTGTGATATCATGTTCTTTTCTTCTCCTGGCTTGGTTTTTGGCATCTGTACCAATGGGAAAAAGCATTATACTCTGCCAGAGGGTAGGAACAAATTAGAAGGCAAGAAAATGATATTGGATAAAGATATCATTTTATTTCTAAATGAATATGCCCACTCATTGGGACCACAGTAGATAAGTTTCCACAAGGTTCACCATTCCTGATTTGCTTCTCCCATGTTCCAGGCACACCCTCAGTGGTCACCGTGGATGGAACCCAGACTCAGACCCAACTGGTGAAACTCATTCCTGGAATGGAGTACCTTGTGAGCATCATTGCCATGAAGGGCTTTGAGGAAAGTGAACCCGTCTCTGGATCACTCACTACAGGTTTTATTTTGTTTTGGATTTTGCAGAGATGACTTATGCATGCTATGTGATTTCCCAACTTCAGCATTTTTGCTCAAGATTCAACAACTGAAATTAAGTTTTTATTTATGAAATCCTGCTAGGCTGCATTTGGAGTGTCAGAGGCTTCATTCAGCTCAGATCCCATGCTTTGGCCTTTTATGAGCTGGATACCCTTAGTACATGCTCAGTCTCCCTGGGCCTTAGTATTCTGAACTATTGTGAAAGAAAGAGCCCAGGTTTGTAAATCATACTAACCTGTGTTAAATCCCAACTCTACCACCTAAAGCTACATGAGATATGAGCTCAGTTAATTTCTTGGGGTCCTTGTTTATAAAATAAGTATAACCTCGTTTGTCTCACAAGGGGGAACTGCATCTGTAAAGCCAATGGAAATAAGTATGCATGTTGGTCCATCACCTGCTTCCCTAGACATATAATGGTTATAGCTATAGAGTAGCTCCTCTTGATTTGATAGGCACTGTATTCCAGGCACTATTGATAAACCTTTCAGGTTTAATGCCCATGGCTATTATCATTCCCATTTCACAGAAGAAACTGAGACCTGGGAAATTAAATACCTTCAGCAAGTCCACATAACTAATAAGTACTGGAACCAAATAAGAACCTAGGTCAGTCTGACATTAAACTCTGTGCTCCACTAAACTAAAGGCTTATTTTCCTATTATAACCTGATTTGCACAGCACACTGTAAACCGGGAGAAATAATGAATTGCATTGAAGAAGAATGAAGTGGAAAATTTCTGTTCAGACAGCCTGTTACAACTAAGTCTCTAAACAATTTACCCTTTGATATATGAGCAGTTACCCAGTATAATCCATTATAGGGGTCCAAAGAATGGACCTCATAGGAAATTTTAAAAATATCCTAGTAGCCAAAGACTTGATTTTATGCAATTAAAATACCCCAGCAGGACCCAGAGTCCTGTCCACTCTGCAACACAGGCTCTATTTCCCCCCAAGAAGTCTTCCATTCATGGATTCTCCATGGCAACAGATGGCAAAAGCTGAATGCAATTCCTCCCAAGATCCAATTGTCTTCACCCATTAAAGGAGATTCTCTACATGTAAGATGAAACAGGAATGACGTTGGTGGGGACCATGTGGGTTCCCAGAATGACACAGTGACATCCTGATTCTTGTACCAGTCATTGTATCTCTTAAGGCTCAGGCTCTTCATCTTAAAAATGAGCAGATAGTAGCTGCTCTCAACCCTTCCAGGCTGATCTGGGGAGTTTTCAGATAATGAATGTGAAAGCAACAGAAGAAAAATCATATTGAGGTTGGCTTCTAAGAAGGAGATGTTGGGTAGTGGAAGAGGCCAGGGCTAAATACCTTGCATATGCATACCTCCCAGTTCAAGTCTTATGAAAGTCATCACTAAGACAGAAAAAGTTAAACAGTATTTTCAATAACATTTGCAGTGACTGAGGGCTTCCCCAAGCATACCATATACACACTGTCTAGTGAATCCTCACAATAGCCACCATTTGACAGCGAATGACTACCCCAAGGGCACATGGACACTAGGCAGAGAAACCAATGGTCTTACTTATCTACTGCTGCTGTAACAAAATAGCACAAACAAGTCACCAATTGATTTTCTCACCATTTGTTTCTGGTGTTAAGTGTCGTGGAGTTGATTCTAACTCATAGTGACCCTGTATAGGGTTTTTGAGGAATGGTTTGTGGGTTTGAACCACTGAGTTTGTGGTTAGTAGTCCAGTGTTTATCCCACAAAGCCACACCAGGACTCCTTCTCTCTGATTAGGAGACTACAAGTCTGAATTGGGAATACCACTTCCAGTGAGAGGTTCCATCTTCTCTAGGGGAAAATCTGTTTCTTTGATTTTTCTCAATATTCTTTGGAGAGATCCAGGTGGTATCTCTCTTTACCCCATCTGTGCTTCCTTGCCTCTGTTCCTAATCTGCTCGTTCTATATTTCAAAATGGGTTATGTTTAAGATACATCCTGCACTTACATGGCCTCATTCACATAACAGAGAAACCCTTATTTGCAAATAAGATTATATTATATTAGGATTTACAACATACATTTTGAGGAGACACAACTCAGTCCATAACACCAAGGTAGAAGTCAGAATCACCAGTCTCCAGATCCTGACTCCATATTACCTACAAGCCACCTACACAGAGATAGTTCAAAACCCAGAAAACCTTGAGCTGTCTGGATTATATAGACCTCAGTGTTGTTGTAAACTCTTTCCCTGAGGAAAATGATACGAATGAGAATAATATTCTTTGCCATGAGTTCAGCCTTTTTTCAGCACCATTCCCCTCACAAGATCATATGAAAAGCGAAATTGAACCAGGGATAAGGCCAGACAGAATTAGTATCCCCATGCTGTTGTGTGTTGTGTGTTGTTGAGTCCATTCTAACTCGTAGCAACTCAAGAAGACGAAGTAGAACTGACTCACAGATTTTTCTAGTGTAATCTTTGTAGGTCTTTTCTCCCATGGTGCTGATGGGTTCAAATCACCAACCTTTCAGATATCAACCAAGCACTTTATCCATTATACCACCAAATTCCTTAATCCCCAATCAACAAAAGAGGCCCCAAGGTAACCCAGCCAACAAAGGCAGGAGTCTGCCTCCAAGTCTAGGACTCTGAGCCACCCCATACAGCTGGCACTGTGTCCTAACACCTGGAGTTCATGGCAACTGCAGCTTCGTATCCTACTCTGTGGCCGCCTATCTCTTTAACACATCACCACCTTTCTTTGCAGCTCTGGATGGTCCGTCTGGCCTGGTGACTGCCAACATCACCGACTCAGAAGCTTTGGCCATGTGGCAACCGGCTATTGCCACTGTGGACAGTTACGTCATCTCCTACACAGGGGAGAGAGGTAAGGTCCTGTCCCACACTGTCCTCATCCCGAGGAATGTCACTTCTGTTGGAAGTTTTTTCTGTTCTCTCTTCTCTACACCACATTTGGTACAGGGTGGCAATGGTTGGAAAAATCAGTAATGTCCTTATGGCTCTTGAAATCAGTTGCCATTAAATCCATGTCAATTCACGGTGACCCCTTGTATGTCAGAGAAAACTGTGCTCCATAGAGTTTTCAATGACTAATTTTTCAGAATACCAGGGTACATAAAAAGAGATTGCTACTAGGGTTTCAGTTCATACATAGAGGGTTTATTCCAAACCAAAAAAAAAAAAAAAATGTGCTTAAAAATGTCTCTGACCAAAGATAGCTTCAAAAAAGTTCTCTCAAAAATACATTTGTCTTAGTTTCACTAGGGCACCATCATAAAAAAAAAGAAGTACATTCAAAACAATGCCTAAGTGCTGCATTTGCACTAAGTGATTTTAATAAGTCATGTAAAGGGGGAAAGTCCATCTTCAGCTCCCATGTGTTTTTCCCAGCCTGTTTCTCCACTCCAGCTGGTCTCTCTGCCTCCTAGAACAAGCCACCCTCTCTAGGAAACAGCTCTCATCTCTGACAGAGTCCAGTATCTAAATTCTAAAAGAGATTGCCTCAGGCCATGCTGGGCAGCAAGGGTAGGGGTGGTCACCTCCTCAGAGACCACAAAGGAGACCACCTAGTTGCAGAAAACTCAAAGAGAAATCCTTTTTCTTTGCTTGTGCCACCACCTTCACTGATGGATTCAAAAAAGCAGAATAAACCTTGTTTAGCACACCAGCAAAGCATGGCCACCAGAAAGTAAAATAAAAATGAGAGAGAGAGGAAGAAGAAACATTCCTTTACCGTGAACAAAGCCATAATTTTGGAATGAGTTACTTTAAACACCAAAGTTACTCTTTTAATTTCCAGCCTATGTAAGTTTCACATTTTATGGCTCAGTATTATTTTATTTTCAGTGATAATACAAGAGGGCACCATAATCGTGTCTGTACCGAGGGCCTCTGAAAATCATAATTCAGTCCTGGCAACCACCTAAGGAAATTCTTTGCAAGCACAGGAAAGAAATTGAACTTGAATAAATGTATTCTTTTTCTGCTCCAATTCTTAAGTGTTCCCTGTGAGTACATTCTTCCAAGTCAGAGAAAATGAGATCCCTTGAACCCAGTACTGAAAAGAAATCAGGGTTTTTGGGAATTATGAAAACTATAGATGGCATGGCTAGCAAATGGTTTGGTGCACAGGGGCTGGCAGATGGCACATGGGGGATCAACTTGTACCCTTTTGCCAGGGACCAGACTAAGTTTTACCACAGCTTCCAGACTAAGATGGACGAGGAAGCAAAACTTGGTGATCTGCTTCTGAAAATCAGCCAAAAGAAACCCAATGGATCACAAAGGTCTGAACTGTAACTTCTCATGGGGATGGTGCAGGACACGGCTTCATTTCATTGGCTTCATTTCATCCCATTGTGTGTGGGGTCACTGATACCCTGGGAAATCCCTTAGTCCCCAGCCAACCAGACGACTGGTCACCTATGATTAGAATATAAGTGAATACACCTGGGCACCCTGGCTTCATTTCCTGAGTTGGGCTTGATGCGGTGGGACTGAGACGTGGTAACTAGATTCTGGCAGGTGTGGTGGTTCTTGCCCAATTTGTGTGATCCCTCAGCTTAATGAGTTGACAAAATTTGACAAATCATAAAAGGATGTGTGAGTCAGTAAAAGAGAGGAGAGTGAGTAACAGGACAAATTGAATATGGATAGCCTGAGGCTTTAGAATGTTACCTGCAATGATCCTCTAGCTCATTGCTGTCTTGGCAGCAAAGCTGTTCCAGCAGGTACAGCTGACCCAAGTTCCCCTTCTTTCTGATTTGGTGCCTGGAAAAATCCAGTCTCCATATGATAAACTCTTTGCATATGAGGTGAGCACTCAAGAGAGAGAAAGGGTGTGAGTCATTGCCGAAATCAAATCTGCTTGTCTGCAGGGTCACTGAAAGTTTCTGGGTGTGCTATTTGCCAAGTCCATCAGTGGTTCATACTGCATGGAGTAACTAACTGCCTTGTATGTCTATTTCTTGTTTAGTGCCAGAAATTACACGCACAGTGTCTGGGAACACAGTGGAGTTTGCGCTGACTGACCTCCAGCCTGCCACGGAATACACACTGAGGATCTTTGCAGAGAAAGGGCCACAGAAGAGCTCAGCTGTCACTACCAAGTTCACTACAGGTCAGGAAACATCAAAAACTGGTAACTCTCTTTTCTGAGATGCCCACCCGCAGCTGCCATCTTATACAGTAAACCTTACAACTCCTCTTTCTTGCATTATGCTGATATCAACAGCAGCTAAATTCACCAATGCCCACTCAGTGAAGGACTTAAGAAACACACCATTTCCTTCTGAACTGAAATGACCTTGGTCTCCCCACAGACCAGGAAAAAGATTTTAAGATGAAGACTTTTTAAGTGGAAAACCAGTCCCCACTGGCCCTAAACCCAGTACTTAATGATCCATATTCTAGGCAGGGAAACACTTTTAAGAGATTTTTAAGGCAAGTTTTCCTAGATGTCCACAGAGTTTTTTATACATTGAGATTGCTTTACAAACTTCAGCAAGGAAAGAAGTGGGTGAGTTTGAGTGAGTGTCAACCTTAACATCCAACTGCCCTTTTATTTAGAAACAAAGAGGGCTGACAATTATGTTCACAGCTGCATCTTTCTTCCAAAATTCACCCAACACAATGTTGGACTCAGGACAAGGTGAACCACATGTAGATGTTATGTCTTTGGAAATTACATGGCTCATCTCCCTCCTTTATGGACGGGGAGAGAAAGTTGTAGTCCAAGGTCAGACAGTGAAAAGGACTTCAACTCAGGCCTCCTGATTTCTAGCCAGGGATTTTTGCCCTACACTTGCTGACTTAAAATTAAATGTCTTCTTCTGCAGATCTGGATTCTCCAGGAGATTTGACTGCTAGTAAGATTCAGTCTGAAACTGCCCTACTCACCTGGCAACGCCCACGGGCATCTGTAACCGGTTACCTCCTGGTCTACGAATCCATTGACGGGACAGTCAAGGTATCTGGAAGTATATAAACAACTCCCTTTTGCTGTTTTGAAGCATTTTTATTATCCCCAGAGTAGGGACAAATTATACTTGTGCTATTCCTCTAATTCTCGTGTGGCACTGCAGGATCATCACAGGACTTCAAACTAAAAGATTGGCTGTTTAAGCCTACCCCTGCTCCACAGAAACCCTATACAGGGTTGCTATGAGTCAGAACCAACTCAACAGCACTTAACAACAATAATTCCTTAAGTCCAGGGCAACTGGGGAGTTAGAGAAAAAAATTAGTAGGAACTGGACTATATGCTATACCTTCTGAATCACACACTGCACCGTCTCTTATTTTAACCATATCCACTGACATCAGAGGTTAGGACTTTAACATTTCTTTGTTGTTGTTGTTGTTGTTGCTAAGTGTCACATGTCTTTGTTGTTGTTGTTAAGTGCCTTCGAGTTGGTTCCGAACCATAGTGACCCTGTACAGGGTTTCCGAGGGTGTAAATCCTTACGGGAGTAGAAAGCCTCATCTTTCTCCCGCGGAGCAGCTGGTAGTTTCGAACTGCTGACCTTATGGTTCACAGCCCGATTCGTAACCACTACGCTACCAGTGGGTATATAATTTACATTACTCTCATAGCCATTCCCAGGGTTGGTCCAACAGTGAACTAACTCACTATGTGAACTGAGGTAAGTGCTTCCTTCTCTGGGTATCAGTGTTCACATCTGTAAAATGTATAAATAGAACTCTGATTTTTTAGGTCTCCTCCTTGTCAGGCATTCTAGGATTTTCGTGATTACCAAAACAGTCATTCTCATTCCAATCTACCATAATTGTCTAGGAAATAGCTTTGCCAGGCAGCGTAAAGAGCTGACTGGTAATTGATCAAATACCAAAGCAATTTGATCATTTCAGCTCTGTACCTGATAATTGATCCTGCTCCTAGGAACCAGAACTGGAGCCTCCCAAAGGTCACTGGGCCATTGATATGAAAAGGACATCCATTTACTTCATGCATGTCCAATCCCAGCTTAGTATGTCTCACTCAAGAAAAGCAATGTGGTATGGGAGAAAGACTTCTGAACAGGGTGTTGGGAGACCTTTCCCTGCTGCTGAAAGCAAAACTTTTATCTGATGCTTAATTCCCTAATAAGAAAAATCAGGTTGGCACACCTGCCCATTGCCAGGATACAGGAGAGCCAAGCTCATTTGTCATTGTCCTGATGGGGTGATGTGGCACTATAGGATAAGCACTGGACCGCTATCCAGAAGGTTGATAGTTCAAACCCACAAGTCTCTCCTCAGAAACCCTATACAACCAACTCAACAGCATGTAACAACAACAAACCCAGTCTGCCATGTTTACAGGTTGCAGAGAGCAGGGCCGTATTTGTTTTACAAGAAGTGCTGGGAGAATTCCAATCCCAGACACCACGGTCATCTGTTAAAAGTGGTCTCATAGGAATTGGAATTCAAGAAATAACTTTAAAAAGAAAGAAGATCTCCTGAAATCTGAAACCAATGACCTCCTCGGGGTAACAGCAAGGCAACCAGCCACAAGTGCGCAAAGGAATGAGCATAGGTCTTACAGCAGCTACACACATCTGCCTTTCCCAGAAGGAGATACACTGGGGCAGCTCAGGTATTCATCTTGCCATGTCTCCTGAGTTACTATAGTCATCTTCTGACTCCAGAGAACCCCAAACTGACTGCACATCAGAATCATCCAGAAGCTTCTTAAATATACCCCTGGCCTGGTCCCTCTTCTAGTTATTAGAATTCAGTTGGTCTAGGATGGGGCACAGACATCATATGGTTTTAAAGCTTCCCAGGGATCCATGGTTGTTGTTGTTGTGAAGTGCCATTGAGTTGATTCTGACTCATAACAACCCTGTATAGGGTTTCTGAGGAGTGACTGGTGAGCTTGAACCACCAACCCTGCAATTCAAACCGACTTTGCAGTCCAGTGCATTAACCCGCAGCACCACACCAGGACTTCATTGACAGGAGCCATATTTGGGGGCCACTTAGCTAACTGGTCTCAAAGTCTAGACTTTTGCCCCTTTGAGATTCATGTTGCCACCAGATAAAGGGTGTTAAAGAACAACTGGATTCATGACATTCACTTGTTCAAAATCTTTCAGGGCTCTGAATTCCTTATCATGATAAACTTCAAATTCCATAGCTTGCCATTTAAGGGCCTTTGTAATCTGGTCTTTGCCCACTCTTGCACTGCTCCACAACCTGAAATCCAATATGGTTGAGGTTATTTCCTCTGCACCTGACTTAATTGGTTCTGTGTCTGCTGGCCCCAGGATCTTTGCTCATGTGGCACCCTCTCCATTTCTGAAAACCCAGCATGGAGCCTGGCACGGCATGGGTACTCAGTAGAGTCTCGTTGAATGACTGAATGAAGTGCTGAATGAATGCATGCATGCAGTGTCTACCCTGAGAATTTCTGTGGTCAAAAGCTGTTTATCCTTTCTTCTGCTTATAGGAAGTCATCGTGGGTCCAGATACCACCTCCTACAGCCTTGCAGAGCTGACCCCATCCACCCACTACACAGCCAGGATCCAGGCTTTGAATGGGCCCTTGAGGAGCCAGCTGGTCCAGACCATCTTTACTACAAGTAAGGGGGTTCTGGGGAGCACCCAAGCCTTGAGACTCTGACTTTATGAAACTGAGTCAACGCCCCCCCCCCCCACACACACACACACCCCTGTTTACTTCCTCTTTAAACTTTTCAAATAAAACTCTTAAAAGACGAATTCCTAGTCCCTCAGTGGTACAAACAGTTAAGTACTGTACTAGCTGGAAGGTTGGCAGTTTGAACACACCTCAGGAAACAGGCCTGATGATTGTCTTCCAAAAGTTCCTATGATTGTCTTGAAAGTTCCTATAAAGCACAGTTCTACTCTACACACATGGGGTCACCAAGAGTCAGAATCTGCCAATAATGACAACCACCTGGAAGTCCAAAAAATGTGGATGTGGAAGGTTATGGGCACCATGGTGAAAGGAAAGGAAGATTAATAGCACAACTGGATCAATTTCCATCTTTACCACTTGCTCTGTGTGACTTAGGAAAACTACTTTCATTGTACAAGCCTCTGTTTTATATACAATGGGATTTATAACAATCCCTTTCTCACAAGACCCCTGTGTAGGTTAAATAAGATATTGTATTTGAACTTCTAGTCCAATAAGTGGCCCTTTGTCTAGAGTTCATTGTTAGCTCAATGTCCCTTCCCCTATGCTTCAACACTTCAAGGTTTACAAAGATCTTTTACCTTCATAAGCAAACTAGTATAGGGGTTCCCAGTTATTGTGCCCAATTTTCTAGTGAGGAAACAGAAGACTCCCAGAAACTCAATGATCTGTTCAAGGCTATGCTGTGAATTAAAGTCAGAGGTAGGCTTTCAGGGCCAGGGGACTTCTCCCTGCATCCTGCATCTTGGCGTCTACTGCAGATGGTAAATGTACACGCTCTGTTGGCCCACTCCTGAGGAAGGGAGGAGCCGGTCTTTAGAGAACCCTGAGCCTAGGATACAAAGAGGGTACCCCAGCACTGCCTCCCACCTCTCACACTTCATTCACCAGTCTTTCTGCTCCCATCTGCTGAGGAGGTGTTGCCTCTGTTCCACTCTTACATCCAGTGCTGAGGGAAAGAATATGCACTTGTCAGAGAGATGTTCTCAGACTTAGGCTGTGAAATAAACAGGTAAATAATGATAGCGCTAAGACCATCGTTTGCTTATGGGGCACAACTCAAAAGGAAGATAAATAGCTGTAAACTCGAATTAATAATAAGAACATGGATTATATGAGCTCAGATTCAGAGAAAAAACTATGCTAGCCCAGTTTTTAGACACCTACTGAAATAGGTGTTCATTTCTACTGCGGGTTTCATTTTTCCTATCACTTTATTGCATTTGGGAATATCCCCAGCATTCTGGCTGTCTCTGTCTACAATTCCATTAAATGTTTTATCTCTCCACAAGAGCAGTTAAATAACTTTTCACACAGAAAGGAAGTTGAAAGTCCAGGACTAGAACCTTGGTGTCTGACTTCAGAGTCCCCTGAAGAGGTTGAGATGCAGCCATATAATGAATTAAAATGTGTTTGTCTAATCAAAGATTAGAGCTCTGGTAGCGTAGTGGTTACGAATCGGGCTGCGAACCTTAAGGTCAGCAGTTCGAAACTACCAGCTGCTCCGCGGGAGAAAGATGAGGCTTTCTACTCCCGTAAGGATTTACACCCTCGGAAACCCTGTACAGGGTCGCTATGGGTCGGAACCGACTCGACGGCACTTAACAACAACAACAACAAATCAAAGATTCAAATCTTTTATCAGATTTTCAAAGAAGCCTGCACCTAATCAAGGGACCTGATTCACAGTGGGCCACCTACCATGGGTTAGAAGTCCAGCCATGATGGCCAGGACCCTGGGTGTTCATTGGGTACTCCTTGGTTTCTCCATGGAAGCCAAGGATGACTCAGCATACGCTACCCACGGTGCTCAGCTCTCCTCCCTCTGATCATCATTGCCAGCTTCCATCAACATGAGGGACTAAGATGACTCCTTTATATACGAAACCTCTAAACTTCCTAGTGCCCCCACAGAGCAGATTTCATCTGCACTTTGCACATGAGGAAACAAAACCTTAGCAAAACCCCGCTGCTTGCCCATAGGAATCGTGCCAATAAGCAGCTGAGCTGCCATTTGAAAGTTCTTACCTGAATCCTCCTCCTACTGAAAGAATCTCTATTTTTTCTTATTCCACAGTTGGACTCCTGTATCCATTCCCCAGGGATTGCTCCCAAGCAATGTTAAATGGAGACACGGCTTCTGGCCTCTACACCATTTATCTGAACGGCAATAAAACCCAGTCCCTGAAAGTCTACTGTGACATGACCTCTGATGGGGGTGGCTGGATTGTGAGTACATTCAAGAGGGATTCCAGGGATCTCTGGCATGAAGGGTGGGTCAGGGTGGGGAGAAGACACCCATGCACATGAGTTTTCCAAGTTAGTGCCTGCCATGTGAAAGCACTTAGTAATTACCAATTAAATGGCAGAAAAGGAAAGAAAGCTGGAGATAAAAGGTAGAGAAAATGAGTTTCCTAACAATTATTTCTGTCATCTGAACTTCCTCAAATGTTTCTGTGAAGTGCAATTGGCAGTGATCATGATTTAGCTTCAGCTGAACGTTTACTGTCTATGAGATGAATGGGAGTTAGTCTTCTCTCCACTGTCTACTGTTCTTCCACTCATAAAGGTCTACTCTTTTCCCATCAGTAGCAGAAGTGCACCCAGACTCATCAGTTGTGCTTTTAGGTGTTCCTGAGACGCAACAATGGACGGGAGGATTTCTATCGAAACTGGAAGACCTATGCTGCTGGATTTGGAGACCTCAAAGAAGAATTCTGGCTTGGTAATACTGCCCTCACATTGAAATCTGTCCCCAAATGTCCATTCCTGCCCTCCTTCTCACTTGTCCTGACTCACAGTGACCTATGGGCAAGATATGGACTCGCTCTGATGGTAGACACAGAATTTTGCATACTTAAGCAAAAAGGCCTCTCTGTGCTCTGTTGCATTCACCTTAAAAATCTGATGGAGAACCAGCAGGCCACAAGAATTCACTGGCTTTTAAAGCATTCACAGAGCCATTTTTAGAATTGTCCTCACTGATATCACTGACAGCTTTGGCCCTACGTACTAGGTCCTGAGACAGTTATAAGACTACATGGGTATGCTTACACCCACCACCTCTAAAGCTCCTAGCACATCCCCTTCCCCAGAGTAGATTTTATCTCTATCTTGTGTAAGAAGAAACACTGTCTTAGAGAGGTTGCTTGCCCATAAGAATCTCACTAATAAGCAAATTGAGCTGCAGTTTGAAAGCTACAAAAACAGGACAATGCTTTTATCCACCCAGGCATGCAACTGACCCGTTCTGGCAACTTGCCTCATACAGAGCACTGTTCTATGCAGTGTTGCCAGGGCTGGAAGTATTTGTCCCACTATCATCCAGTCTTTCATTTGTGAAGGGCTTTAGAACTTAAAAGGTACTTTCAGTCCCTATCTCCTTTGATCTTCACAATACACTAGTAGGTCGGCAGAGTAAAGATGATCAGCTGGATTTTATCTGAGGCTCAGAAACCTTCTATGCCTTGCTCTGCATTGCACTAGCCAGGGGCCAAGCCAACTTTAAGCCCAGGTCTGTGTAGCACCAGCCGCTTTCTAGTGCAGCCGAAGCTGTTGCATGGGGTGGAAATGAAGACCTCAGCAGCTCGGGCTTCCTCAGCAACCTTGCCTGTTCTCCACAGGGCTGGACAACCTGAACAAAATCACGACCCAAGGGCAGTATGAACTCCGGGTGGACCTGCAGGACCATGGAGAGACAGCCTATGCGGTCTATGACAGGTTCAGTGTTGGAGACGCCAGGACACGCTACAAGCTGAAGGTGGAGGGGTACAGCGGGACAGCAGGTATGGGGCAGCAGCCCTCAGAGCCAAATTCATCCAGCCATCATTCCTTCCTTCTTTCCTTCCTTAGTCCATCTACTTATGGATTCCACAGCCATTTGAATACCTGGGAAAGAAAGTTGCTGTTGAGTTTATTCCAACTCATAGTGCCAAAGTCAAACTGTGCTCCATACTGGGTTTTTTTGTTTTGTTTTGTTTTTTATCTTTACATTCATCCTATTGTATTTTGTTTCATTGCAATAATCACAATCCCCTGCATGCATCATCAAACAATCAAAGGGTACACCCCACACGCCACACACCCCGTCCCCCCCGCCCCGTCCCCCGCTGGCCACCAGCACACAGACCCTCTCCCTC